TGCCTGGAACGGCGCAGATGCTAGTTCACTTTTGACAGAGACAGACAATCCCTCAGCGACACGGACGAGGCCGTTGGGAAAGCATCAGTCTCATTCAATGGCCACCAGCTCGTCGGTCGCATCTTTCTAGGTATCTGCGCGGTCTTCGCTCCTCCAAGAGCATGTGTAGCGACGAGACAACGACGTGCAACAAAGCTGCCGACGCTGCCTGCGCGTTGATGCACACATACAACCTCGTAGGCCCCTCCTCCATGGATTGCGCCTTGCGCGGACGACGGCGCGCCGTGGTCAATCATCAGTCCTTCATATCAATCAGAGACGGCACCAAGAAGGGCGCTGTAGTTCGTGAAAAGTTTACCAAACCGGCTAAATGCTATTCTTTCTGGTATTTCCAACTCTAAATAAGGGACTCTGTCTGCCCCGTCCGTGGTCGCGTCGCGGAAGTTTCTAATATGGTCCCGTGTGCCGCCAGACGTATTAAATCATGTCGCTGTGGTCTCCCCTTTTTGTATGTCTCCCCGCTTGATATATGCTTCTTACACCGGTTTTGCACGTCTGCCAACAGTACTACAACTGGGCCGTCGCAGACGCGGCTACATTCCTCCATGCTGCTTGGCCTAGCCCATCATCCTGGTTACACAAAAAATCAACGCCGAGAAGCTGCCGTACCATGTCGAGGTGATTGCTCAGCGGGGTATAATCCCACCAAGACTTGGTATCATTCTGAAAGAGATCGGGGGGTGGTAAGACGCAAGGGGATTGTGGAAGCTACCGAGGTAAGTTCCAGCAGAGGGTATTGTTGTAATCGATGGTTGGGGTGAGGTATCTGTTGATCTCGTCGTTGTCGCGTCTCGAGGAAACCGTTCGTGGTCAAGGCCGCCAGGTCGCCGTTCAGTTGGCGAAGATCTTGACGGCCGAATCCATGCCTCCCGTCGCAATGACGCAGCGGAACTGGCCAGGCGCGTCTCCCTTCTTGTCATCTCCGGCCTTGCCATCGCCATTCGCTCCGGCATCGCCGCGGTTGGAGCCAGATACCCACCGAAGACAGGTGATGAACTGTTCATGTGTGTCCTCCAGAACCTTTACGCATTTACCCTCCTGGCTGAGATCCCAACATCTTAGGGTCTTGTCGTCGGCTACCGAGAGCAAGTACTTGCCTCCAGGATGGAACACCAGAGCGCTGACCCAATTGTCATGCCCAACCAGTGTCTTGAGACACGTTCCTCTGGAATCCCACAATTTGATCGTCTTGTCTCGCGAACCAGTGGCGACGAACTCGGCGGTGCTACTTGCAGAAGGCGGGTTCTTCAATCCGGCCAGGTTCGCCAGGTGCTTGTACGAGGCGGGCGGCGCAAGTGCACAGCATTTGATGACGTTCTCGTGGCCGAACATTGTCACCGTGTTTTCGGGGGTTGGCATGGACAAGTCCCAGATGCGCGCCGTCCGGTCGTTTCCTGTCGAGACGAGGTAGCGACCGTCAATCGAAGGGTCGACGTGACGCACCCAGCCGCTGTGGCCACTCAGCGTCTTGACACAATAACCTGTCGTGGTGTCCCAGATTTTGAGCGTGTTGTCTCCGCTGGCGCTGACAAGCATGTTGCTGCCGCCAGTGCCCGAGGGAATGAATCGGACGGTGCTGATGCTGTGGTCGTGGCCCTGAAGCGTCCGGATGTTCTTGTAGTCATCGGCGGGATCCCACAGCTTGATGGTCAGGTCGGATGCGCAAGACGCCAGCAGGGTAGCGCCCTTGGGTCCTCCAAAATCCAGATCCTGTACGGCCTTTGTGTGTCCCTTGATGGTCTTTTCCAGCTCGCCGAACTCCCAATCCCATATCTTGATCGTACAGTCGGCCGAACCGGAGGCAATCGACGAGAAGGCGGGGTGGAAAGCGATACAGTTTACCGCGTCGCGGTGAGATTCTAGCGAATATCGGGGAGGCGATCTCGGTAGCCAGGCACTGGGGTCCTGGCTACGCTTAGCAAACGACAGAGGCGTCGCGTTATCGAGCTCGGTCTGCAGGGCGGCGTTCTTGGATTCGAGATCCATAATCTAGATGGAGCAAGAGGCATCAGCAGGTGAGACATTGATGCAGGGGACAGGTCGGTCGCTTACTTTCTTTTGAAGCCTCACGACGCTCGTCCATTTCTTCTCCAGAAGACCCTCATACTTCTTGGCTGTCTCGGCATCGAACGTGCTCTCCTCCAGCCCAATCTCCTCTCTCAGGGCAGCGGCGGTGTTGGGGAGCTTGGCGGAGAGTAGGTATGCGATCATGGACTTGTGGCTACCAACAGGGTCAGCGAGCGGCAGCAAACGCGGTCGCCAAGGGTACGCACAGCTCCTCAGCCTGCCGTGTCGTCAAAAGGCGGCTCATTGTGTAAATTGAGGGCAGCGGGGGCCGCCTCCTGGATTGATTCGGTGCCCAACTATGGCGCCTCGCGGGCCAGCTCGTGCCAGGCGGGTAGGGTCAGATCAGGGGTTGGTCGGCGGCAGAGGAGACAAAGAGGCCGGCAGCGGGGATGAGCGACGGTGACGCTGGGTAGGGGCTTGGGGGGGCGAGCAAGACGTTGGACGCGGAATGGATGTCCAGCCAGACCAAAGCGACGTAGATAGCGGTCGGCGGGAGAGGTGCTTACCCCTGCCAGTAGCAGCTTTTGTCCCTCTCCCCACCGGCAGTCTGGCTGGCGCTTTGCTGTAGCTGCCCCTCAACGCCAACACAACAAACGGCTTGCACGTGACTGACGTAGCTCGGTAATGCGGGGCGGGACATGCCAATTGGTTCTACCCTACCTTACCGACAGCCAACATGTGAAGCCGCCCGGTTCGAACCCAGCAGCGGCAACATTTCGAGAATGCTTTTTTATTCCAAATGAGCCTTGTTTTTGGTCCTTTTGAATATTTTCCAGCCGAATTATGGCTGATCTTGAGGGCCTCCATTATGAAGCTAGAGCCAATTGTACGGGTAAGGATTCCAGCATTGACGCTGCTGGCAAAACACCAGGAGCTAATTTCATGCGCCAAATCAGGATCCCCGCCCGCGTCACTGAAGCCCAGCACAAGGCATTCGCTGCCAGAGACGATCCACAGCCATGCCTACGAGAGATGGTTCTCGACATCATACTAGTAGTATTCAATTGCCAGTATACAGCAGTTTTAGGTAGCATAATCACAGGCCCGAAGATGTTGCACGCATGCGCTCGGAAGCGACAGCATGAGGTGTTTCTATTTATAGTCATCCCACCGAACCCGACACTCTTCCACGATGTCTACAGGTATATCGCCGGCTTGTCAATTGGGCTTCTCGTCATCGATGGGGAACAAAAAATAAGTTTAAGACCCATGAAAAGGCTGGTTTAATTCACAGCTCTGTAGGCACCAGGGCCTCTTGCTGGAAGACGTCATACATGCCGCCTCCTCAAGCTACCCTAGACCTCCTTCCTCTTCCTCAACCTTTCACATTTGGATCGCGCTAAGGCTGACAATTTCCCCCCGTAATGGCGGGAATTCTATTTGGCGGGTTCTCTCACAAAATTAATCTTTACTACTGAACTGGTTAGTTAAGTGATGGATCTCAATTGCCAATGTCTGCTTTCTGCTTGGCATAAGATAATCGCTGGACGGCTGGTTACTGGGGTTCCGCCGGTATTCCATGGAAGCCTCATAGAGGAACGATGAAAAACGCCTGTTGGACAACGGCCTGAATAAAGTATTTCCTGTCAGCCCTGTAGCTGATAAGATTTTCTTCAGCACGAGTACAGCCGTTGCATTTGGTATTGTCTTGAAGTTCAACGCTTTCTCTACCTGGCGGCAGTAATTAGTCATCAGCAAAGTACGATGGGCGCAAACAGATGCCTGTGGCAGAGTACCAGCCAATTTGCTGGGCACTTGCACTTGCACTCGCATTACCCCGGTCATTTGAAGGGAGTTTGACATCCTTTGCGCTTGCTTTTTGGCCCCCTTCCTTTTCCAATGAATACCTTAATAATCAATCTCTCTAGCGGTAACTTTTCGCCGTATGATCAGAACTTTTAGGATCTTCCAGACCAGTGGTGAGGGGCTCCTGGTGTTCAGCCACTTTCTCTCCATTGTTGAGCCACAGATATCCTCAACTCCTCCACAGCATTCAAGCTTCACTGGGAATTAGGCCACGCACCAACCTACCTAGGTAGGTTTTTCCTTGAGCCACATATGACAAAGCCAGACGACGAAGCCACAGAATGAAGCCACAAATTGAAGCCACACTAGTACAGCCACATCCGACTACCCTTTGCTCGCGCTGTCTCTCCCTGTCGTGCTGCCTTTGGCTGGGTTATAATGTTGTAAATTAATAATTGAGAAGGCATACACTAATTGGCGACGAAAAAAAAAAACATCTTTCGTCTTTGGTCAAGCGCTCAAACTGTGTGCGCAAGTCTTTCTAGCTGAACTATTTTGAAAGCTGCCCAATGCATCAATCACGCCTTACACCACTCAGAGAAATGGCCGCAAATAGTTCAACACGATATTGAAATCTTCCTTCTGGATCACCCTCTGCACCGGTCGGAAAATTGGCCACACGCAGCTTCAATTAAAAATAAAAAATCCAAAGAAGCTCTGGCCAACACCGAGGGGAGATCTTTTGACCAACACGGGTGGCATTCATCACTGGGTCACTTATCACTGCTTGACGGTACGAAGGAGATACCAGTCGAGTTCAAAATCTTAGTTTCCTTCTACCTAGATTTGCAATAGCTTTCCCGGTTCTCCACGTGTCTCCCCCGAGCTAGAGAGTCTGTCACGGCTGTGAGAGCCGAGGAGGAATTGATCAATACCCCTGAAAATCAGATAGTAGGCAAGACCTCACAGAGGGACGATAGACTGTGTATTCAGATGAGTGCGTTTCTTGCTACGTATTCGCCTCGCCCTTCTTCTCCGCACCTGGGAGATCCTGTTTCTGTGCCCTTGGAAGGTACGTCTCTTCGAGTGTTACGCGGATCGCCGATGGCAAATCCGCATTCTCATTGATGGCCGAGTATCTGCAGGACTCTGCAAGACCTCACAGCCATCATGGGTGCGAAGAGCTCACCGCCAACTTGCAATTGTCAAGAAGCGACCCTTCCCATCTCGCCAAGGCCAGGTGCATCAAGCAGCTCGACGGTCTCGGCCTCGTATGCAGAGGATGCTGCAAGCCACCGCCCACATTGACATGGACATGGCCCGCCACTGAGCATACACTCCGCAGACGGTATGTACTCACGCAAAATGCAGATGTCGGCATGCCCCGTTAGCTTCGCCAAAAGTGCCTGCTGGCAGGGTTACTTTGGTGGCTTGGGCAGTATCCGATTCTCCTCGTTAGGCAACAACGGCCTTGACGACGACGGCCGCCACGGCGATGTTACATTCGATCGCCACGCATACATTTCCTGCCGCCGATCGAGAGATGATGCGTCTGTCTGCCGCTAGGACTTCCAGTAATGGCTCAGCTCACGCAGCCATGTCTCAGGCGCATTGACCAGAGTACCTCAGCCCGCATGTGAGAGCTTGCTGGGAAGTCAGGTGGCTGCTTACACGGCAAGAAAAGCAATTCCAGAACCCAATACACATTTCCGTTCAAAGATAGTGGAAGTGACAGCCGTACCGGGTGACACAGAGGGTCGGATACGGGGTGGCTCTCAAACGCCACGACGGAGGACTGGTGTAGGGAGGGACCATGCAATTCGCCGAACCAGGCTCGTGCTGGCGACTAGCTCTCTGCATGGTTGGTTGATAATGATGACATGAGGGTATGTATGGAAACCGTGGCGTTCTCATTGATATGTGCGGGCAGGATAATGCAGATTGTCATTTTGCATTATAGCTCCCTGGCGCGAGCTCTAATGACCTCCGAGGAAACTACCAATATTCCTTTGGTTCTGAGACAGTCCACTTGCCGTATGTCTTGAACTTTCGTAGGGGGGGGAAGGCAACAGCGACACGTGTATCGTATCAGCACAGTGTTGGGATTTCTGTCATATATTCATGTGATAGAATATTTTCCAGCAAGCCACTGTTTTCTCATGAGAGCACGGCCAAAGCGGTGGGGAGATCCCACACCTCAACTTTCTTTCCCCGGCCGGAGAAAACTGGCTAGAAACTACGGCTCATTGGGCGAAGAAACTTAATCTGCAGATCGATCGGTTCTTCCAGGCGATTCTAGGGGAAACAACCGGTGTCTATTGGTCAGATTGTCGAGATGGTTGCACTTCGCCCGCACGAAACCGATTCTTATGCCCGTCTGACCAATTTCGGTTCGGCTAGGAAAGAGGGGAAATCTCACGAGGAAACCGGATGCCACCCTTGTAACGCTTGCATATTGTGCGGAGTCTGTTGCCGCTAGCCATTTAAAACAAGGAGCAGCCGGAGCTGAAAAGGAAAAAGAAAGGATACCCTCCAACAGCCTTATTGTTCCTTTATTGTTGTTTGGCTGTAGAGGCAGAATGTGCGGGCGCCGGCCCACCAAGAGGAGAATCACTTGCAGATGGCTTTTCGCACTATCGAAAGATCAGCGGGCCATCCACAGGACAAAGTGGAGGACTTGACAGCCTCACTTTTTGAAAGTATTCCACATTATCCATTGTGGTCTTGGCCGGCTGGGATCATGACGCTCGATCGCCACATGAAAAGCGGTCTGTCATCACCGAGACTCCCGTGAAAATGATAGATCTCTTTTGGCTTCACAGTATCACACCATCTGGTATGCACCGCCGTCCACCGAGAGGGGCCCAAACTCCTAGTCGAAAGCCATTCTTACCGGCAGCCAGTGACAATCCAACTTGGTGTCTCAGAGCTTTGCAGGATAATAAAAAAGTCCAAAGTCAAAGCGCCGTCAGCATGCAACTAGCCAGAGCAGTCGAGCGCCACCGAATGCTTGCTCTGCTTTCGACAGTCCAGTATGTTTTCCTTTGATGGTACTTCCCCTCAGGCTCAAGTTCACCAACCCTGTGCCAGGATCAATCGAGTATTTGAACCCGGCTCGCCTTTGTTCTCAAGGCGGTTGAACTCTCTTCTCTTCATCCCAAGCACCCTTCACTCTCAACTATTCCAACTTCTTGAGGACACTGCTACCCCGGACACCCCACCACATTCCTGATTACCATGTATCAGAAAGGAAAAGGGAGGGAGGTTCAGGTACGATCCCCATACACCCACATCCGGATGTCACCGTCTTCTAGCAACTTAAAGGTAACCTGCTAATGTGCTTCTCCACCAGGGGTATGGGATTTCCACGTCCCGCACCAGACGTGGTCGGCGGGGCATCAGGTCCCTTGGACCCCCGATCGCTGGTGCCCTCCGTAAACTTTGGCGCAAGGAGCGGAAGAAGACGAGACGCTTGAACTCTAGCACGAGCTGCGGCACCACTAATGACAAGCACGTCGACACTGCCAACAACATGAGCCCTTACGCCGCTATGCCACGTGAAATCTCTGGATTCATGGGTGATGCATCCATGTCCGACCCAACACCTGTTGAAGTGGCGTCTAATGTCAATCTATCCCTGACACAGCCTGGGTTTGACAATGCCCTGAACGGTGGGATCTCTGCCAACAATGTACCCCTGAGTGAGCCCACACAAGCTCAATCTGACAGACTCATGAACCACGAAAGATCTGATAGAGATTCCTCAATTGTGGCTCCAGTCCAGCTGAATGCCTCTGGTGCTCAACCCGTCAATGAGCCCGAACAAGTTCAAGCTGAAGCTGATAGCCGCGAGGCTTATAGAAGGGACTATGCCAAGCAACTGGATGAGCTTTGGGAGAACGGGGTGAGAGCTGCTTTTGAAGAGACTGCCGAGACTGCGTATCTCGGGCTCGACACTCTCGTGGATGAAGAAGAAGAAGAAGAAGCAGAGAACGATCCCTACCTTCACCTCATGGCTACTACCTCGTGTGGTCTCCTGGGCACGGACCTTAGTGTAGCTTTCCTCCCCATGAACCAGCCTACACAAGCTCAGTCTGAAATTCTGGCAAATGGTGCAGATCATGGCACTGGGCACCAATCCACATCCCATATTCAACCTCAGAGTCGGCCAGTAACCCCCATGAGTGATGGAGGCTCCAGTGTGACTCTGTGCCTCGACGAACATGCACATCTTCGGTCTGGCACGCCCATGAGCGATGGAGACTCCAGTGTCACTCTACACACAGGCGAGCCGCTTTTTCGGACCGGCACGCCCGTGAGTGACGATATGGACGATGACATGAGCGATGACTTCGACGATGACATCGATGATGATGACTTTGAGGATGAAGAAGACGACGAGATGGGCAATGACAGGTGGAACGAATTCTCCCAGGTCATCATAGAGGATTTGTGGGAGGAACTGCGTGATGGCAAGGTGATTCGACTGGCGGTTGACGAGAGTGCTGGCACGAGTGATGCCATGGAAGATGCCGATGACGCCCAGGCTGAGAAGATGAGCGATGTCATCAATGAAGTGGGCGATGACGTGAACGATGCATCTGATAGGGATGGCTTGAGTGATCGAAACTCTTTGACCCTTCCACCCATCGCCTTCATCACTCCAGCGCAATATCGAGCGCACATGTTGAGCTTTGAATCCTCTGATGTCAATCATATGCGCGTGCCCGACTCGGCTCAGGGTCAGCTCAGCGGGACCATGGACGGTGAGGATGCCGACATCAACAGTCCACCACTGGTTCATCCTATACCACTCCGAGTACAGCCGGACTTTGACTCAGTCATCAATCATGTTGAGACATCTGCAGACGAAGGAGATGTTCCGCGTCTGTTCATCAACCCCTCTCTCACTCCGGCCGATTATCTGAGGGGTCATCTGGCGGAAACCATGATGGGGTATGCTTATGGTATGGGTATTAGCAGTGTCCACATGTGCTACCTCCCAGAGATCCCAAGGCGCCTGGAACAGAGCGTCGCTCTGCGCAACACGGCGTATTTCTTTTGTTTCACGTGGCACCAGTTCCATCTTGGCAGACTGCAAGATGTCGATGAGAGTTACGGGTACGCTCGAGCTTCTCATGGCATTCAAGAGGAGTTGGAGATGGTACTTCGCTTTGCTAAATATGGACTGGCTGATAGGCTCGTGACCCCCGAGCTCCTGGCTGCCTTGACTTTGACTGAGCGAACCTTGAAGCTTTTCCTCCAGGGGAAGAAAGCTCCCGAGTACGCTCGTTTGTGCAAGAACTTGGTTGCTGAACTTTGGCTGGTTAGGGGACCACCCGACCTCAATGACCCCTTGGATACGGCCGTCTCCAATGAGATTCATGGGCTTCTGGTGAGTGCAGTGAAGATCCCCTCCTCCCACGTAATCCTCCATCTGACCTTTCTTCTCTTGTACATAGCTCCGTGAAGGCTGCGAGGTGGACGTCACCGCTATCATCGATAGCCCATGGGACGAGGCTCTTGCACTATGTGCTGTAGGAAGGCCTACAACCGTGGACTGTCCTGACACGGATAACCGTCCATTCATGATCAACGACCACATCAAACTTCTCGAGTATACCTCAAAGCTCGAGCCACTGTTCATGGACCTGTCGCGAATTGGCAGGAATCCTTATGGCACAAAGGTCCTTGCTCGTGAGGTCCAGTCGCGGCTGCAGGTGATCAAGGACGCGGCACTCTTCACCAGCGTGTGCTCAAGTTCCGAGAGCCCAAAGCCGTCTGAGAATGACTTGCGGCCGGTGGCGCAATATTTCGGCAAGCGCTACTATCTCAAGTTCGTCATGCTGGCGCACATGTTCCAGAAAATGATGATGCACGAGTCTGTGCCCTTGCAGGTGGTGTACGAGATGAGCTATATATTTAGCTTATCGCCCGAGAGATACCTCAAGTTCTTTGACGATGCCGAGTACGACACACCCGAGTATGAGGTTTGGACTCGGATCCCGCAAGAGATACTTGACCGTGCGGAGAAGGGTGCCAAGGCTATTGAGCCATGGTGCCTCAAGCCCGCGCCGTTGCTGGCTGTTGGTGTCGTATCAGATGATGTACCTGGAGCGGGATGGTGCTCTATGATATGGCGTCCTCTCGATGATAGAAGGCTGTTGAACATGCCGTTTCGTGATTTATACAAGCTCCGGCTTCACTCGTCCCTGAACGACATTAACATGCTATAAGGTCGATTCAACAAATTTGGCATGTCGACGGGAGAAAGATGAAGAGCAAGACGGGTGACGGGTGATGATGATGCTGCCGGTAGCGGGACGATCTATGTTCCGACAGATTGGTTGGTTAGCAAATTGATAGGAAAGACGTAGCTGGAACATTGGGAACTTGGCATAAAGGATACAGCGAATGGGCGCTTACTCAAAGGTTGGGTAATCTGTTTGGGTCGTTTCAATGTGTGATTGAGCTTGGCGAATGGATGATCGGGAATTTGATCTGATGGACATCGGAAAAAGGCGATTCAAGGATTGGGATATTGATTTTGTTGCTCTAGAGGGCACGGTATGATCCCAAATAGTTCTCCAATTGTTTGGGGTCGGGGAAAAGAAGGAAGAATGTCTGTTTCTGGAGGATCATGAAACGAAGGAATAAATGTTGCTTGGTTGGACTTGGTACAGATTGTTTGGAGGAAGCAGTTGTTGGTGCGAGATGCGGTTGTGATCTGACCTGGGCGCACCTTCCGTCCTGGTTCTGGGGACTGGGCGGTGTCTTTTGTATCTCTGCTAGGTCGGTACCTTCCGTTGGCGTCGCGGCAGCCATTATCGATAGGTACCTAGATATGTGCTAGGTACAGTGTGTGCTGAGTACCAGTATGCACCTTTAGTATGAATTATTCTTCTAACCACCTCATCTACGAGCTTCGTGTAATACTCATCAGCTTCAACCACGCGGCACAGCCCTTGGGCATGTCGGACCGTCGTTGCGCTGGACCTGCCTGCTGCGCCATGTGGCGTCTGATTCATCCCTACGCTGACCAAGGCCAATCTTGCCCGTGTGCGGCGATCTACGTTGTCGTCGGAACGAACAAGTCGGGATCATATCTCCCCCGGCGCAAAATGCTCCCAGAATGGCAATCGACCCTTGTCGCCTGTGTCTGCATTGAAGGGTCTCAAAGCTTGCTGGTACGTGTTTCGCCCTCAGCAACCGTCGGGAGCTAATATTGATCAGGGATAGGCCACGGCCTCTTCGTCCACCGACTAATCCATTCCCATTGCTGGCGCTGGAGGGACTCTTTTTTTGGCTTCGGGCTGCGCTGTTAGAGGCAAAGATCGATGCAAGACCAAGTCTTCCGGCCGATGAACCCCACTGAGCAATCGGCATGCGGCCAATTGTATCTGACCCCTCGGATGTTGCCCACGCGAAATTCGAGCGAGCGCGGGGCGACACCGACCGAAACCCTCATTTCGCATCACAATCTCGGTGCCGTGGTGGGGCTGATCTGATGGCATGCTTGCCATGATGATGCTTTTGGATCCCCTGTGGTTGATTGGGAATGACTATAAGTATAGCTGGCCCTGGCTGGTTCGAAAGCCTTTTTGGAGCATCACCACTCACAAAAGACAAGTTACTTACCTGATCATTTGATCCAGACTCCGTCGCGAATTATTATCCCACTGCTACCACCCCACCAACAACCATGTCAAAGACCATCACTTTTTTCGGCGCCTCGACTGGCTGCGGCAACTTTGCCCTCAAGGCTGCACTCGCCCAAGGCCACACCTGCATCGCCCTGCTCCGCTCCCCTGCCAAGCTCGCCGACCTCGCTGCTTCGAACCCCAACCTCATCATCCGCGAGGGCAACGCGCACGATGCCACCGCCGTCGCAAAATGCCTGACCGTCCCCGGCGATGACTCTCGCCTCGTTGACGCCATCCACTTCTCCATTGGCGCCACAATGGATCCCAAGACCTTCAAGTTCGCTGACCCCGATGTCTGCAAGAACGGCATCGCCGGTCTGCTCGAGGCCCTCACCACCCTCCGCCGTGATTGGAATGCTGTCGGCAACCCCCTTCTCGCTGTCGTTAGCACCACCGGCATCTCAGACCAGAAGCGAGACTACCCTCTGGCCTTTTACCCTCTTTACCACTGGATGCTCGCCACGCCCCACGCAGACAAGAAGGTCATGGAAGAGCGTCTCAGGGCCGGCACAGAGCGATTTGTGATTGTGCGCCCCAGTCTGCTGATTGATGGCGACAAGGAAGGCGTCAAGGTCAGGGAAGGACTGGAGGACGTCAGCAAGGGCAAGCTGGAGAAGGAGGAAGTTGGATACACCATCTCACGGGCCGCCGTGGGCAGGTGGATCTACGAAAAGCTGCTCAGCGTCGATGAAGGAGCTGTACGGGACTGGGAGGGTAAAGCTGTGTCAATTACATGGTAGCTTGCAATTCTCAGGGATTGAGAGTGAGGATCTTGTCTTGCTGTATAATGAGTCTTATGTAATTTTGGGTTTCCGTTAGCGTCCATGAGCAGATAGATTTTCTTATTACTTGGAATTTGAACATATGAACGAATCGAATACTACCTGTGCTATCTCACCTATCACTTCTCCGTTCGGCCATTCAAGACCCATGTGTTGCAGACTTCAAACTTGATATTGACAGTCAAACCTGGGTGATAGATTAACACTGGTTTTTGCCAAGGCAGAATACTGCACTGGTAGTTTAACTACTACATGGATGCGTTGATTGATTGCATTGAGTTCGATTGGGCTATACAAAAACCTACCCCTTTATTCAGGAGTTAGCATCTATGGGCTTACACAGACCGTTCAAAAAGTGTTCATTGTCTCTCGCAGTTCTAATGTTGGGAGTTGCCAAGCTTCTTTTGGTGAAGAGAACAATCACTCACAAGGTGTGGACGCAATGGGACTACCGCTCTTTGTGTGTCACCATCAATCCTTGTTTCTTGTGCTTGTGCGGCCTCACACAAGCCGGACGATTTCCTTTTATTCTTCCTTTTGATGCTCTTTGTGCCCCGCGGATCTCGTACGATACACTGACCCTCGCCCAAATCACTTGTTTGTGTGAGAAACACTGCTGGCTGCCTTGATTTATCCTCCCTTTCACCCACCATCAATCCAAGGCTGTAAGTGTACCTCGCACGCGATGTTCCTAGACTAGTATTGATGTTCTTTTCAAGGTGTGCGTCTTAGTCAAAGTCAGTAGCGGATATCTCGATACAATATAAAACCCTGCCAGATGGTTACTCCAACATCCCAGTGCATCCTCCATCGCTCTGCTTCCCGTGAAGCTCCAAGACATACAAAATGGAAGCCCCGTTAGCTAGGTAAAAAGACGAACACATTCCCTTAGTCGATCCCCTTAATCTAACTAGATGATATAGTCCATACTACACCGGCAACATCCTCAACCTGAAGATTAAGTCTGTCGGCAAGAAGTCTTCTCGCAACCTTGAAAATGGTGGCTATGTAAGGGCCAGGATCGTGAAGACTCTGCAACCATCCACAATGTCCGTGGTCATGGTTGTCGAGCTTCTCGAGGCTGTAGATCAGGGTCAAGATCCTTGCGCTCCTGGCATTGAACCCCAAAAGCTGATCCTAAAGATGTATGACCGTCGGTTCTCTCCCCATTTGCGGGAGTCACTGGAAATCGACGGACCGGCAACCCGGGAGACGGAGAGGCAGTTCCTCAACTTCCTAGATGAGGGCGGCATGCCTGAGCTCTCCTATGCTCCATCATTGGATATCGCCTGGGGCATAGCTCAAAATGAGGCCTACTTCGCGCTCTACGCTGCGAATATGAACAAGACCGAAGTACTGGTGTATGACCATCTCGTGCATCTCCAGGGGGATGCCGTCCCGGTCTTCCACGCCGACGTGCAGCTAGATCTACGCAACGCGCCCGGACAAAGCTCCCACCCGCTTGCCGGAGTTGAGGGCGTCCTGCTCGACTACATCCAGGGCTTTCCACTGACTGAGCTGGATGACAAGGTGCCCGAGGTCGAGTGGCCGGCCATCTTCGAACAAGCCATCGAGAAGGTGAACAAGATCATCGACCACCCGTTCATCAACCACGACATAGTGCTCCGGAACACCATCGTCTCGAGGGATGCGGGCGGCGGGCAGTACAAGGTCTATTACATCGACTTTGGCGGGTGCCTTTTCCGCCCCGAGTCCGACACCGACGAGGTGTGGAGGGCGCGGAAGCGAGAGGTCGACGAGGAGGGCAAGATCGGCTTCCCCCTTTCCAGATATCTCTCGGAGGCAAGGATAGAAGAAGCGAAGAAGAGGTACGAAGGGAGAGATGCACCTGATTTGCCCCCTCCGGGATGGAAGTTTACGCCGTCGAATCGTTTCGCGCGCAAAGCCATGAAGCTACCGGATATGTAAACGCCAAAAGAGAAACAACAAGTGGTCTCTGTACTTGCTAAAAAAAAAGACTGGGATAGTTAGGCTTGGTAAAGAAGAAAAGTGAATAGGGAAATGCCTACAGGAGGGGGACAATTGACCAAAAGATTGGCGGTATATAGCTTGGGTTGATAGAGAATGCTCTGAACACTTGAACATCGGGAACTAGTTGTCCAGTCCCTTAAACTTTGTGGCATGTGGTGGGTGAAATGGCTTATTTCTGGAATTTCGTTATAACAAAGCAGCTTGGTTAGGAGGGCTTGTATCAACAGCCTGACAACGTTGTTGATAGATAGGGTTAAGGGGGTTACAAAGAAGGGCCAGCTCAGACACCAATAATGTTGTTTTGAGTCAGTATATCTCCTGACTAGAGTGGCTTCCGGACGCACCTCTTAGATTTCATAAATGAAATGGTCCGTACGCAACTGCTGGAAAGTTGGTGGTGCATTGCGAAGCCTGGTCGCCATCGGCACCGACATGGAATGATCAAAGGACCACGTAGAGGCTTCGTAGGACGACGTGCGGCCAAATAGACCGCCCTCGGTCGACCTAGGAACTGCCTCGACCACAGCGTTATGTCCTGTGCATTCGGGGTCGATCCGTCGGCGTGCTCCCTACTTGCGCAAGGTAAGTAACAGTTCGGTCGCATCAACCCACTGCGTGTGGGCACATCATCGACGACACAGAATTGCCGAGGTTGATTGTCTTCTTCGCTGGCCCAGCCCGTGGTTAGTAGAAGAGATGTGAAATTCGACGCCTTGCTGGTACCAGCCTGTTGCGTGAGAGGCACCTGCCACTTCAAGAATTAGGGTAGGTATAGAGAGAGCATCCTTCCGCGGTAGCTGCACCCACATCAGTCGTTGCCTCTCCTGCGACAAAAATGCACTCACTGCATAAGTGCGACGTATCTCGTTGGTATTGGCAGAGGCATACAGGATCGGATGCCACTAGGTAGGCAACATGCAAGGAACAGTGGCATTGGGATTTTGGTGCACTGGCTCCCTAACAAGGAATTTGCAACGAAGCGGCATGAGTCAACTGGGAATTGGGGCAGGCATTTATTATACACATGCAATCACTGCTAGGACGGACATTTAAGCGCTGCAATTGACTCAGTGATAGGCATGCGATGCAGATACGCATATCATGATGCTGACGTGTTTGTGATAGCAGACTCATATCAGGGACAGACGGAGACATACACAGACAAGACATGGGAATTATCACGAAGTTTGAATTGCATATCATTCTATTTCCTCAAAGTACCGTTCTCCCAGCTCAAAAATAGAAGATAATCCTCGCAGCCCTGACTACAAACAATATCGAAACCAGTCCACGCAGGAGCCTCACTCCTTCTTCGCGTCAAGCTCGTCCTTCTTCTTCTCAACATGTGTCTCTTTGACCGCCCGCTGCCCGCATCGGCAGGCTTCCTGGTCGGTCACATCCTCGACACGACGGGTGGCGGTGCTCTGGTCGACGGAGCGGTGCAGGCGGCTCTGCCCGGGCCCGAAACGCTCCTCGGTGAACTCGACGGGGTCGTTGTTCTGCTGGTAGGCGGTGCGCACCGTCGTCCCTTCGGGGGTGGTGCGGGTCTGCTCGGAGTAGGAGTGCGAGCTCATGTGGCTATTGCGGTTGATGTTGGAGGAGACGTTCCAGCTTGTGCTGGCGGAGTAGAAGAAAGGCATCGTGCCGATTGCAGTGGTTTGGTTATAGCGGGTTGCGTGGCAGCTTCAGTTCGCTTGCAAAGTTGATTAACGCCTGTGAATGCATGTATATGTAAGATGGAGAAAAGTGAAGAGGAGATGGGAAATGCAAGCTCTCTTATACACGTCCCCCGGCGTTGGTATGGCAGGCGCGACGTCATTATCACTGTCGTCGGAAGGCTGCTATTCGCTGGGGACCAGAGTAACACCTTGCCAGCATTGATTGCATTGACGAGACATGCATCAGCTGACAACGGACGGTTCACGTGGAGGTGCGTCAACGATGCACAAGGCCAGATGAAGAGCTTGAATTCTAGTATGTTCTACAGCCACGTCAATTCTCAGGGGCTAAGCTGACCAGTCTCCGGGTCTTGAACCACCAAGCGACGGGGCCGTTGAGGTTAGATGCTTGCATCCAGATAATAACAAGACTTCACTTGCTATGCCACGTCGTCAGTGTGCCAGGCAATACCACCCACCGTACATGATAGACTTATGAAGCGATATAAGCCCCCGGGCTCAGTGACACTCGAGTGGGGGATCAGGTGTTGCTAGACCTTTTCGGCATTTTTTTCTCCTCGACGGCACGACATAATTGAACTTCGACACGTCTAGAGGCGTATTGATATTGTTATCTGCCAGCAATTTCCATCATCGGAGACGCCGGGGCCGAGAGTGATGCTCAAGTTGTCCCTATAACATCGCACTTAATTTATATCCGCTTCGTGTTGGTAGCCAGTCTCGGACCTCTTGAAGCTCGAAGGTTCCAGAAGTATGATAGATGTTCCACAAAGGCATATTCAAACAAGTCAGCGGCCAGTTGAATAGCCCATACTACCTCAAAGTAGAGGAGGGGATAATGGGTTTCTACCGTCCTCCCTCCCCGACTCCTTTATAGTGTCGATCTTGGTGCGTTCATGTTGTTAGTTCAATACAACGACTTCAGCCAAAGAGTATTTCTGTAAGACTAAGTTCGCAAAACAGGAACCATCGGTTGCCATTTATCTATAATCTCTATCTAATTGTCTATCTAATTGCCTATCTAAACTTGACGAAGACGTCCTTAATCAATCCATCAGGCTGTCGGTATCCTCTGAGCCGAGGCAGAAAATCCTTCCATCATTCTTCCAGCTCCCTATGCCCCCTATTCAATGCAAAGAATGCTTTCCTCATCTTAAAGGATGCTCTAAACAAGCTCCTGGCTGGCGATGATATCAACCTCTTCGACAGGGTGCTTAGCATCAGCATCAGCGAGCATGCGGTACTCTTCTTCTCCAATCTCGCCCAGCCTGCTCGGACCCTTCTTCCCCCCATCCAGGCCGTAAAACTCCTGGAACGACATGATGAGCGGGCGCCACTTGTCAGGGTCGACCCGGTTCTCGTACCCCTTCATACGGAGGCCATCCTCGACGTGGACGCGCAGCACGCGCAACTCGATGATGAGGATGACACCCGCCATCTCCGGCAGGTCCTTCCACATCTCGTGCGCCATGGCGAGCTCGCACTCCATCTGCACGGGGCACTCCCTCGCGCGCGGCGGGCGGATGGCCTGGGACGCCTGGGGAGTCAGGCCCGAGGCGGCCCACTTGTCGTGGACGAACGAGTACCCACGGCTGATCTTGCCGGGGGGCACCACCTCCGTGCCCGTCGTCTTGGCGAGGCCGTTGACGGCGCCCGTCTGGGTGTCGTCCGGGAGGTTGACGACGCACTGCCCGGTGCGCAGGATGTTCTGCGGGGTCTTGCTCTCGGCGGCCAGGCCGAGGACGCAGCGGTGGCCGAGCCAGAAGACGGAGGTGGTGGGCGCGAGGTTGAAGGTGCCGTCCTCGTTCTCGGTGGAGACGATGGCGACGGGAGTGCCCCAGTAGAGGATGGCGGGGTTGATGGTTGCGTGCATGGTGGTTGTTTGTTGAGAAGTCGGAAAAAGACGGGGGAAATTGACTGTGTTCTTGGGAAGTTGGAGAATATAATTGATTGTGTTCTTGAGAGTTGGAAACAATGATTTTGTTGGTGATTATTGAGTATTTGGGTGCGAACACTCGAATTTTTATAGCGTTGTTGACTCGTTTTTCCGCGGAGGCTCTCCAGTTGCGTTTGATATGAGGCCTCTCGTGATCCACAATCGTTGCTTCTGACATGAGTGGGATGGTGTTGTCGCACCACCGCTCGTTCTGCATGGCGCTTTCGACAAAAATGGCTTGGTCGATCATAAAAAAAGGGTTGGATCATTTGCCTAGCGAGAAATGTCATGTATCCCAGTCGGCGTATTGCGTATATCGTGACCGTGCTGGGAGCATGGGTCGACATTACTGGCTTACACCTGAGCCGCTTTTCCCGACAATGCTGGATACGCAGGTTTGACTCATACCGCTTGTGGAAACTGGATAGATAACAAGACCAGCAGGCATCCGCGAAGTGACAGGCACCTTTGACAGTGTACCGAAGATCGTCTGGTGTAGACTCTCACGGGAGGATCTTAACCATTGTAAATTTGTACATGATTCATTCGTGGGGCGATTGAGTAGGCTGCTCGACAGATCAATGGTATCAAGCCGGGAGAAACATTTCTCATCAACATGCCTGTTGGCGCGCATGCCTCCGATCTCCGACACCAGTATCCCTTTGGCTGTCTGATTAGAGGGCTCAGCTCCGCATCTGTCAACGTAAATGGACGGGCAATTGGAAGCTATCGTCGGGGGCATCTTGTTGAGTCTACGGTGCTTGCATGTACTCGGCCACTTCCCACGGGTTTCATCACCATTACACGGAGGGACATATCTACACCTCCCAGATACAAAGAATTCACAATCGCCGATCAGCTGCTAACTACTTCAGGGAATTCATGCCCATCACGATGATCGCCTGTTTACCCAGGCGCGTCCTACTACCTCAAGGACGCAAACCTTTTCTTCCCCTCGCTGGACCAAACAAACCTTGCCGTGCACACGAAAACTTTCTTCGAGCTGGTCTCGTACTTCTTCAATTTCAATTCCCCTCGAGCGGGCTTGAACAATTTATCTACACATCTTTCAATCAAACTAACAATTTGCCGCTTCGTATCGCGCTTCGTATCGCTTCAACACGACACCGGCCAACCCTCCAGCGCCATTTCCAAGATGGGTCTCTCCCCAAAGCACCAGTTCATGGCTACCGCGATATTCTTCGCCATCATGAGCGGCGTCGTGGGCGCCCCGATCCCTCCAATAAAAGTGCTAGCCTTATTCCCCGCGCTCGGTGTCGTTGCGCAGGCGCTCATCGAGGCATGGGAGCCCTTCACGAGGTTCGCACGCACAACCAAGCGGACCATAGTGCGCACACGATCGGGTCCCCAGAGACCCGAGGCCGATGCAAAGCCCGAGACTGTCCAGTCACTGGAGCCAGACCGAGCAGCCGCCGTCTCTGAGCAACTTGCAACCCAGCATGATACGCACAGCGCCTTCCCGGGGGGCCAGTCTGTGATCTGACGACTCTCACACTGAAGAGGGGTAGACGGGCATGATCTTATGAGTAATTAGGTGGAGGGCAAAGAAGAGAATATGGGATTGATTTGGAATCGCAGAAAAGGGTCATCTGTTCAGCATTGAATCGCAATTTAATCTTTGGATGTCATTGGGTTCCAATTATTTTGGTAGCAAATCTAACACGAGATCCGACTGAATTTGAAGTCTCTCTTTCTTTTCCTTAGAGCCGTTTACATATTCTTTAATTTTCGCCTTTCAATGATATTGTAATTCAATATACACTCCAAGAGCTATGATAAGTCATCGAGGCCCAGGTTTACAGGTCGTGAAGCTGCATGCAGGGCCTTGATTCTAGCTCTGTTACTTAGCTTAGACATCTGTTGATCAGAAGCTGTCGATTAGGTTATTGTCTCGATATTTAGAGTTTGGAGTTTGGCAATCCTTGGTTAGTTGGGAAGGAAATGCTCCAAAAGTCATATGAAGTTGGAACAAGGTATCTCATAGGACTAACACAATCTATCAAAGGCTAAAGCCATCTAGATCCATTGGTGCCTGGCAAGGTTTCCATCCCCTTGAGTCGTCAGGCCAAGTCCCAGGTCCCATCATAGACGAGGAAGAACATAACATATCTTGCAAGCTCTATAGCGCTCATCATTTCCTAGATTCTAAGTATCAGGGCTTTCTGAACAGACACTCATTGTTCTATAGAGTTGTTAATAAATAGATCATGGATGAAGAAACTTTCTAATTGTATCTGCGAAGGTCTGGGCGCGAACCTTGTATAGTATATTAAGCTTTCGAGATGATCCTCGAAAGTTTCTCTACTCAACTTTGTGACGTTAAGTAGCTCTATCACGCGGGGCCCCAAAGCAAAATGCTTCCTTACAAATTGTTTAATTTCTCGTAGAATACTGTGTAAACTTCATCAAAGCTCCCCTTCTTGTTCGACCTTCGCGATCAAGAAGTCCGAGCGGCTGGGTCGACCTGCCGCCACTCACAAACACAGAATTTGTCACACATCGAAGGGCATGCGACTCGTCCTGTCAACCGGGTCTTATTCTTATCGCGCCATGGTTGGAGTTTCCTCTTGGACAATATCTGGTCGAAATAATCATATGAAGGCGAGTGGGCAAGGTTGAGCATCTGGTGGCTTGCATATCGATTGATAGACTCTGCTGGCTGAAGTGAGGGGCCGTAGTATTACGAACCTAGACATGTATTTCGGAAGAGCTACAAAGAGAACAGTGATAGTAGCTGCCCCAAAGGGTGGGCGGACAAGAAATGCTCTCAAAAAGGACCAAAGTCGACTGGATCATATGCACCGATGTCGAAGAGGACACTGACGTCGGGGTGCAGTTGCTGTGAATGGCTGTCAGCTGCAGATAAGTATGGCTGGAATTTGAGACATATTAATGGCCATAAATCTCATGCAGTCATAGACAGGGCCACATCGCTTGGCTAATTCTTCAACAAAACAGTCGGGACTATCCAGGCGGCCCAACCTGGGGATGTGACGGTTTATAGATGCATCGCCACAATATGTTTTGCGGACCTTGAATGTGAATTTTGTATCAATGATACGGATATTCCTGTAGCAACTGATATTTTCCTCCGGCAGTTGTCGTTTCAGTCTCTTCGCGATTGGTGTCCATTCCATTAAGGTAGTGCTTAGGGGATAGGTGGTTGTTCCAAGGTCCACTACTTCAAGGTTCTGGGTATCCTCAATGCGGCGAAAGACTAATCTGCAAACATTACTAAACACAAGTTAGAAGTGGTTTGTATCATCGAACGACGTGAAGTAGAAAGAATCGCTTTGGTATAAGTGGTTCATACCATTCGACTTGATCTGTTATAAGGCCTTCGTTCTCAAAACCACACGAGGGACATTTGGTTGTCGGTATATCAAATCGGCGGAAGTCCATACTCATCTTGAGCGACTGACCGCGTTTGATGATAGACTGCCAAGGTTGTGAAAGGTCGAGAATCTCCCCAGTATTCGTATCCTCGAGGGACCACTCGCCCCGATCAATTTTTGTTACCCCAAGATCCTTGAATCTGTTTCGAAGAATTTCAACGAAAATCTAGCACAGTGTCAATATGTGTAGCTGTCAAGGAGACAATCCACTTACATCCTTGCAGTTGACTGTCTCTATGTGGAATGGGAGATATCCGCCACGGGCATCAACAACTACGACGGAATGAAACTTTATATCAGTGGGAAGTCGACATTGTAAGTCGTATATAATGGACTTCAATTGGTCGATCGAGGAAAAGCGTGAAGCGCATGCTTGTTGACGTAAGAATTCCAATAGGGCGGGCTCGAGCTGGCGAGAAACGAGACTGGCTTCACTGTCTATTGTTCCTAATGTCTCGAGAAGCGCCTTGGTAGCAGAAGCAGCAGTGGCTGCAGCGAAATCTTGCCATCGTTTGCGCTTGTGGCTGTCCGCGTAGTCGCAAACACCCTTGATGATAATACATGCCATCTCATCCCACACACCGGCGCCCTCCATCTCGAAGGCTAACACGTTATCATCTTTGGCGATCCGATCGCGGTCTTCGCCAGATTTCATTACTGTGTCGCCCGAGGCTACGACGCCGATGTGAATGGCTGGTTCTTGGGCCTTGGAGGGATCCTCCTCTTCGAGAGTTTGCTTTTCTTTAAGAGCTTCTCTAGCCACCAAATGGCTGCCTTCACAGCCAGCTTCGTCACACGACAGGTCGAGAGCTTTACTACACGTGGACTCTGCGGTGCAGCATGTCGAGAACCTGTGCCTATGCCGGTAGGTGGGCTCGAAGAGCTCATCCATGTCAGCACCGGGGTATATGTATTTTCTTCGATTTCGTTTCGATTTCTTGAGGTAGGTTGCTTGCAGTTCGCGGAGATAGTGCGCAGTGCGGCGTTCGAGCTTGTCTCGGCCGCGGTGAGTCTCGAAACTCCGCAGCAGGGAGCGGATGTTCTTGTTCGGTCTTCCGAGATTATCTTGCAGGCTGCTCTTGCGCAGGAAGACGCCGCCCGGATACTGTCTTCCAAGGTCATACTGGACCAACGAATTGGATATGACCACATCGCCGAGTAGAACCTCGTCGCCGTCCTTGTTCGGCCCGGGTACGCCGCCGCAGATCCCCACGACGAGGGCCAGCCGTACATTGCAGTAACTCGACTTCAAGTAGGCGGCGGCACTGGCGGCACATGCCTTGCCCATGCCCGGGAGCAAAACGATGACCACATTGTGTCTATCGATGCGCCCTGTGGTATAATGGTTCGGATCGCCATCGATTCTCTGGTACGGGTGTGCGCCGTTGTCGAGGTCGTCGAAGAACTTGTCGAAAAGGTACGAAACCGCCGTGGACTCGAGGGGCAAGGCGCAGATGATGGCTATCTCGAAGCTTTCGCGGCTCGGTGGTCGGCCGATGTTATTCTCCGATTTCGACCCGTGTATCGCTGCCATATGGCCAAAGATACTGGCCCGGAGAGCCTTGCGAGTAGGTAATAAGAATTAATGGTAGTGATGGAGCCGGCGGGGGCGCTTCGGCCGGCCAGAAACATACACTCGCGAAGGAATGCACTTGGAAGCAAGGACTGTAGAAATATTGTTGGAAACATGGATTAGCAAAGGCGGCAGTACAGCCTCCAGCAATGGCAGCCAATGACAGCGGGGTTGTGAAATCTTGTCACGTGTTGAGGCGATGCACATCTGCACTTTCCCTCTCAGCCCTCGTGTAAGAAAGCCTTACCTCGTTGCTGGCTTGGAGCTCTATCGTAGAGGCTTTGCGGTGGGGCTAAACGCTGCTAGTAACGTCTTAATCTGAGAGCCTAATGGCAATTAACCTCCGCCGTCTGGAGATCATGGACCAGGTACGGGCACATGGGTAAAAGCACGGGTAGTGACATGGTGCCAAGCGACTGACATAAAATATAGCACATCTAGACAGTTCAGCGTTGAATTTCGACACAATATCAGAATAATTAACCCAGCAATAAATGCCATATCAAGCTGAGTATCGAAGAATATAATATTCTCTCATTTTGCTACCTACCTACCTGGTAGTTAGAAACAAGGTCCCTGCTGTACGCGAACAGAGCCTTGGGGGGGGGTGTGCCATGTTTTATTCCACCCACCAGCATGCCTACCTACCCAATACCCGTCCGCCTTCTGACCGCCGGACTGGGTTAGAGGAACGTATAAAGCTCAAAATTTAGGCTAAACTACGTAGTTGGAAAGTTGAGATTTCTAGTCAGGTAAGTATTTTTGTGATATCGTTTGGAAAAGGAATTACCTGAATATCTTGGACAATTTGGCTACCTAGGTAAGGACAAAGTTTAGTGATAAGCTAACATATTTGAAAGAGAAAGACGGAGTGGAACCTGTGGCTTACATGTGGCGAACCGGGGTTATGACATAATCAGACGTGGCTGATGCGCGGCCCGGCGCTTGTGCCGGAAGCTAAACTCTCGCCATCAGCTGCGCGCGTCGCAAACAGGCCTCTTTATCAACCAACCTAAATGAAGATACGACACAGCTCTTCGATGCCTTCCTCCACACTTTGGGGCACTTCTATTATATAGAATGAGGTCCTTTGAGTCCCAGGCCGGGCGTTCTCGCGTAAGACCCTCCTAGTGCCTACAAGCATAGCTGCTCAACATTATCGCTATACAACGTCCGGACCTTCACTACGACGCGCCAGCGCGGCCGACAAAAAGGCAACTCAACGAGATTAACTACTCGTCTGCCAAGAGGGTCCGATTGGCGAACCCGCAGCAACCTGAAGCTGAGGACAGAGGGGGTCTACTCGCGGACAAGGTACGGCAACCCACGCCTCTACGGGACCAAGCACTAATAGCATCGAATAGTTCTACCAGACGACGGTCCTCCAACATCTAAAATCTCCATACGCCCCCTTTCCCGAGAACTTTGTCGACCCCTTCCAGCCGACCCTTTCCAGCCGTATTCTCGCACCAACTCAGAGCACAGCTTTGCTCTGGAGTAGCTCGAATCGGTTGCGTCCGATCGAAATACACAGTGCCGGTCGGAGAGCCATCTTAAGCTTGCGGACGACAGCCTACCCTGAGATGGCTCGCGAGCTCAGCGCCGGCGATCGGCTACACACCGGCTGCTGATGGTTTTGCGGTACCGTCGACGCCCGCTTCGACCGGCGGATCGATTGCCTCTTCGAATATCATCGGGTCATCGGGACTGTCTGGGAGAAGCTTGCCGGAAGCCCCCTTTACCGGCATATGAACCTGGCTGCGAACAGCATCTACATCCGGCCCCTCCATGAGCAATTTCCCGAACATATTACCGATACCGATATTGTGCGATGTAGAAAGCGGGATCGTGATTCCCCTGGCCCATTGCCAGAGGATGTCAGACAGGATACAGACTTGAATGAACTCTGGATGGCATGTCGGAGAACGAAGCGTCATGCATACATGCCTATGTAGTGCCTCATTCTCTAGGTATGACGCGAGCCAATGCTTAGCCGCTCAAGTAAGGCCATGATGCTGGTCGTGATGAAGAAGGCTGGTTGGCACATGGGATATGCGCATGTACATCGTATTTGGCGTCCTTCACGATACCTACGACCCTGACAAGGCGGAACTCCTAGTTGGAATCGGCATGCCGGTTATCTCAGTCTTAGCCAGAAGGAAAGCGTAAGCATCGTAGAGGTAGATACATGGCGAACAAGGTCAACGGCGATATCAGGCCGCCGTTCTTTGTCGACCACGCCGGCGGGAAAACTCCGTTCTACCCTAACCCAACCCACGCGCCCCTTACACACGATCTTAGACCAACCCTATCAGCTTCTCTCAAACCTCCCGGCGACTCGGGCAGCTCCGTGTGGATTCTGGCGTGGGAATGCTGCAAGCGCCGTATGTGTCGGTCAAGACTCTTATGTTTGAACCGTCGGCTGCGGTATTATGTGCTTCGGAATCTCCGCAGGATACGGTTCGCTCGGCTTTCATCAAGGAGCGTCACCGGCCTCGGGTGGTTCGGGCGAGGCACACGATGACCTGGGGCAATCTAGTGTGTCGTCAAGATCTTCCTCCCAGCTTGAGAGCCGCCAGAAGACCAGTCAGTCAAACCTTGAGATAGGTCAGTAGATGTCGGGATACAGAGTCGTCCCAGCGCGGTCAATATCTGCTGCGGCACCACGGGAGAGAGTAGCTGCATCCAAAATTATGCCCCCTAGTGGCATGGCAATATTTAATCGTGTCTGTGACCCTGCAGCATGTCTTGACCTCAATCACGTCCAGTTGATTGTTGCTCTGCCACTTCAATTTAGGTCACCAAGGGCACCCAAAGATGCACTCGTAGTGGATGATAGGCACTACTAATTACGCAGAATCTAGAACTATGGCAGAGTGCTCGGCACTGCTTCGTAGATTGGGGGAGTCGAGATCACCACTGCTCTAGAACCATCTCGCAGCCTCATCCCATCTTCTCCCGCTTTCGCTAAGCGATGGCATAAGAGCAGTAAAAATCCGGCAGGCTACCCAGCTTGACACAGATTTCTGGGTCTGACTGGTATCTAGTGGACACGTCTTGTGTTGAAATTATCATGTGGGATCTTTCTCGTAGTAGTAACGCATGGAGAGGTGATCAGTACGCTCCCAAGTGTATGACACGGGCCTCCATACAGTCTCAGATTTCGACACAATCCAAATAATCAACCCATTTATCAATATAATATTAAGCTAAATAATATACAGCAAAATATTATTTTACTGTTATTATTTGAATGGTTATTAATAACATAATGAGGTCTCCAGCTTGCACGGGAAGAGCTCTGGTGTGCCATGTTTGATTTCAACCACTTGGCTCCGTGTCGGTTTCTGCCTTAATAGTAATCGGGCACGAAAGCATGGCCCCTTGGGTCATGAGCCCAGTGGCGTCCCTCATTTCGCAGATTGATCGCATTATAGCCCCAATGACCATTAGGGGAAAAACAAACCCCATCCGGTAGATGATGTAAACATGGTACATCACTCAAGCACTATTTCCAACGAACAACCGCGTTTCTATTTTATTTCCGAGATTTTCCTCCTCGACAGCGACTAGAACACTCGGCTATCTAATTGCTGAGGCATGAATGTCTCAGTCCCGATTTCAGCTCAAATGAAGCTAATAGAGGGGGTTTGTGTGGCCTTGGATGGTGCTTATCCCGCACTGCCGGGCGTCTACATTTTCTTTCCCTTTTGACCTTGTCGCGGGGGGCTGCTCGAGATGATCCCGATAATGTTGGCGTGATTATCGCAGGGCGGCGGACCAGGGTGTATGTGATTGGACATGGATGTTCGATGTGACCATGATTCCCCTCTTCTCGCGTTGTCTCCTTCGCTATCATGTAGATGATATTCCGTCCGCTATGTAAGACATGCATGCAATGTCCCAGACAGAGACTTCCAGGCCTACGTAATGGCATGTTAGCAAGTTAGTTAGGCCCTCGCTGAGATCTGCGGAGAAATCAAACTGGGAGATGTGCGTTCCGGCTGGCTTAGCGCTTATTTGTGCAGGCCGGTGGTGTGGAAACTGTGGAGAGCAGTTATTGAGCAAGGTGATTGGACAACCGTGATCCATCCATCCATGGCTGTTGAGTTGCAGAGCTCATTAATCCTGGTGCTTTGTTGGGAGGGGAGAGCCCGTTGCTCCTCCATCCCGCTGAACGCAACCCCCTCCCACTTCCGCCCCGTTCGAGCTCGAGGCCCAGCGGAAGCGTTATGAGCTGAGCCGGCAGAAAAAGCAATGCCAAAGTCAGTTGCATTGTTCATCTAAGACGTGGCTTGTATTGTCCCTCCGGTGTGCCAGACCTGCAGCCAAACAAGCCCACCGCTGCCCATCAGCCCAAAGTGCAACTGGGAGGATGAGACCTGCCTCCCTCGCCTATTGTCGCCTGTACAGTGCAGTGTGCTGCAGTTGGTACTTCCTCTCCATTCGGTGCATACCGCAGGAGCAGCGGTAGAAGCACGTTGGTCGCACAACGAGTGTGCGTGCTTCTGCAGGTGCTGCATCCCTCTGCACTTGTCACGCTCCAGACATTCATCAATTGCCGCTCGCCTGATCTCTCCTTTTCATCTGCATGCTCCCCGTTCTTTCCTTCCTCGCCTCTAGCCGTCATTGCATCGCAGGCCTTGCTCTCCGCCTCATCTGATATCACGACCCGCTTGAATCTATCACGTTGTGTTCTTATTGAAGCACCGCTGTGCTGGTCCCATTTCTCTCGCCCTAGCAGCATGTTTATTCTTCCTCCCGTCGCTGATACAACCGATTGATCGGTCACTGATTTTCGGCCAGTTGGTCGCTCTTTGCCCCTTCCCCGTCGCCGAGCTTGTGCTGGCGCTGGTGCTCCTCCATATTATCAGACAAAGAATCAATCAATTCATTTCCAACCCAATTCGCCTTTTCGCATCTTCCCTGAACCATTCTTCCATCGTCCTCATCCATCATGCCCGGTGGTCGGACCTCGTCAGTGCCCATGGCATGGCTGAACGATGCCCGCCGGTCCCTCAGCGAGGGCGGCACTCGTTCAGGCCGAGATGTCGTCGATGCTCTGATTCCTCTTCTAAGCGACTGGGACATCATATATCTTCGCCAAAGAATAGCAGAGCTCCGCGGCACTCCCACCGCCTTGGCCAATTTCACCGATCTCTCCTTGGACTGCATCTATCTCATCCTTCCCTACCTCACCATGCGAGACTTCCTCGCCATGAGGCTCGTGTCCAGGGAGTGGAACCGAATCTTGTCCCGGCCCGAGCTTCTCGTGATCCTCTGCCGCAGATACTTCCCAGGTATCAGCACGCAGAAGGCTATGGCCGCCGGCGCCAACGTTCAAGAGTTCGCCAACATCGCCCGCCTATACAGTCGCAAGACAGAAGACACCTGCGGCAAGATGTTCGTCCCATGGGATATTGAATCCCACACTGCTGCCACCGACATTACTACCACCATACGAGACGACCCCACCAGTGACAGCGGACCTAAGGGCATATACCTCAGACATCCAACCTTTGAAACTGTCTGCGGCGATGGCAAGCTTGTCCTGTTAGCCAACAAGAACTACCTCCTCATAGATGACCTGGCCAAGGGAACCCGGACGAAGCTGCCCCTTACCGCCGACCCTCGTGTTACCCGCAGGCTCATGAAGGTAGAGGCCGTGACAGGGAAAATCATCGTTATGTCGTCTCTCCCAGGGCCAACTCTTGCAGCCATAGCAGGCCATCCAGTCCCCGAGGCGGCCAGGCTTCGAACAATGTAGGCATTTACCATACTCCTTGATTTGTCCTCCTTTTACGCTGCGCTCCCCACCTTACTCCTTGTGCTCTTACACTCTGCCCTGACCGAGCACTGGCGGTCCCAGAAGCGCACTCGCTAACCACTTGGCCATAATCTAGCCATGTCTACCATTTCGAGCTCAAAGTTTGGCGCAATGTCATACTTCCCGCACGTATTGACGAGTGCTTCGCCTACGATGAGAAGTTCGTCGTCAGCTTCCACTCCAAAGATGTCATGCTGTGGACTTGGACCAAGGGACTAGTCGAACTTCCCTTGGGCCATCCGACGTTCAACGTGGGACCCCGAGGCTCTGAAAACTTATATTCTTCCGTGGCCGGCGTCTTGTTCCACCCTCTCGATGACAACACTATCTTCCTGGTCTGGGTGTATTTCTTTAGCGGTGTACATGGTATGTCATCCCCCTTCAGTCCATCTTCACTTAACAAGTTTTCGCAAAAACAGGTCAACTAACATCTTTGTAGTCAGCGAGAATCTGTTCACCATTGTCGTCGTCAAATACAATTACGACGCGGACGGCGATCGTTGGGTTCCAACGAAGGATTATAGACACTCTGTCTCTCATCCGATACCCGATCCTGGCCCCTCGAACCACTGTTTCGGAGGCCAGACAGACCCGCTTGGCTCTTGCTTCTCGCGCCGCTTCAGCAAAACAAGCCCCGATGGCATGTACCTCGTTGGTCTCTTTTTCCTCATCAACTACATGAGTGAGCAGGACAACGAGGGCATGTGCAAGTGCGTGCAACCGTCATGGGACAAGGACTGCGTGCGGGCTCTCACGTTCAACGTCTGCACCGAATCGTTCAACGAGAATCGTTACTATGGTTTCAAAGACTCTTGGGCTGTTAATATCAGAACCATACTGCGCAAAGGCCGTGGTGTCACTGACCAGGGGACATTTGATCACATCCAAGTGTGGAACGGAGAGCTGTTCAACATGGTCATCCAAGTTCTCGCCACTGGATTGACGCCTGTAATTGAAGTCATCAGGGGCCGCCAGGAGAACGGCCTTCCCATAGCTACGCTATCCGGCGGTGACTACGATGTAGAAACATTGAAGCCAATCTCAACACAGCGCGCCTTCGGCGATGGCCCGTTTCAGGTCCATGCCGGCACCGACTATCTCGTCCTCGCTGGCGGGCACGGCTATGCCCTATGGCGATGGGACAAGGAAAGGAAGATGCGACCGGGGAACCAACCAGCTGGTCAGGATGAGCCGTGGCTGGCCAATGGCGAACACGTCTCGGCCGACATGAGACGCTTTGACGAGTCAAGTGAGGAAGACTTCCTCAAAGAGCTCCATCCTCCCTACGCTGATGCGCGCTGTGAGCTGTACGATGTTGTGGTTAAGCTATACCATGGCCCCAGGGATACCGCATTGGAACGCGTGACTGATTAGACAGGTGGGCTCGCGGGACCAAGGGGTTTCCAGACGTGCTGGGATCCAGTAATCCGGAGAGAATTGGACTCAATCCCTCTGAGTCTGTAATAACGTCGAGGTTATGCTTTATCGATCGCTGGTATCATTATCCTTTTTGGCGAGGTGGGGTGGGATCATGGCCAATCGATGTCTTCGCTGAAGACATGCTGCCTTTGATATGGTACGACTCAAGGATGAGTTTGTTGTTGCATCATTTGCTCATGGAGATGTTTCTAGGGAAGGTTGAAGTAACTATCATGGAATGGCTCTCACTTAACATGTTTGCTGGATGTGTGTTGGCTCTTAGCTTTAGTTCAGATTGATCTCCTTATGAATGAAAGATGACATTATGATCTATAGCCACGGCTATCCTCCCGCAGACCTGATATGAATGTAAGGCCGCTGTATCATCTGTAGCTCCTCCAGGCCCCCTTTGCCTCAAGGCTAAGTCATGCAGCGTGTGGTTAAGGGGCGGCTTGCTGCCTCGACGGTAGCGGCGATAGCCAAGCCCACGTTCCGCTTTACATGGAGAGCGAGTGTAGACGACTCGACTCAGTCGGATAATAAGGAGAGCGGCGATAAACTCTGCGTGCGGCACAGATTGACACTTTGGTGGTGGTGATGGTCGCAAATAAAGTAAATTTCGATTGTTATTACATGAAACTAAGACTAATATAGATACCAATTCATTTGTGTCTGTTGTTCTGTTGACAGAATCCGGGTGAGGAAAATGATATTATCAACTTGGTCTTTCCCACCATCGTCCAGTTGCTGCTGTTGGGCTGAAACGTGCCGCCCCGGGGCCTGACCCCCTTTTATCGCTTGTTCCAAAATCAAATATCAATCTCTAAAGCCTTATAACACAAGTGAGTGTTGCCGTATTCTTCGGGTGATGCCCATTTACCAATATGAAAGTTCCCTCAAGATCGAGACGCAAGCGACAAGGGCGGCAGCGGTCATTGCCAAACGTGCCCATCCCTGCTTCTTCGTCACCACAACTCGCCGGAGGGCGATCTCCTCCATATGCTGGTCTAGCTTGTCGATCAAGAGGTCGCAGTCTGGGATGTGTTCACTTTCCGGTGCGAGGTCCTCCACCCAGTCGAGGTGCATGGCACGGCGGAGCTTCTTGTGCATTCTTTCCTTGTCCGCTGCGTCTTCGTGCCACTTCAGCTGGGGCTCTCCGGCCGGTCCTCGCTTCGAGTCACGCATACGAGCGTTCCGGGCGAGCTTGGAGGCCCAATCGTTGTTGGTTTTGGTTGCGTGGTTGAGTTCCCCCGCTGGAATTTCGTGCGTCGGCGCCGGCTTCTCGGCGTCTTTGATGAGGCAGAGGCGATCGAAGGCGTCTAGGTCTAGCATTGCGAAATGCTCTGGTGCGCAGGCTCGGAGTGCTTCGTGTGTGCTTTGGTTTTGAGTTGAAGTTTTTGATGAATACAGAAGCTTGCTTTGAGAGGATTGTATGTTGAGGAGGGGAGAAAGGGGGCGGTGAATCATGGGAGGGAACTGGGGCTATATAGTCTGGTTTGGGCGTGAAGTAACTTGCACCATCGGTGATTCACTGACGAGATTACCTACGCTTGTTAAGTAACTAATGTTTGGTACAACGGTTGCCATCCGAAGTTCACTTCACTGGCGGCCGTTGCCCGGTTGCAAGGAGAGGCGGGTCTAGCACGGTTACACAAGCAGGGACAGCAAGCAAGTAAATGACCAAATTGAGCCCTGTGATTTTCACTGGCCTGCTGTTCATTGTTTTAGTTGATCACTGATAACAAAGAGCGGCTTATGGTCCCGGGTTTTCTTAGACGAGTTATATGTACTGGGAGAACACACGCCCTTTGTTCTTTGGCGAGTTCGGGATTGGTATTTGTATCGAATACGGTTTAGATGATGATTCTTTTTAAAAAATTATATGAAGAACGAGGCTGCAAGTCGCGCGAGACTTCTCGTTTGTATGAGTTCCGGCTCGGTGGAAGCATTCTGACACCCCTCCAGGCTCAAAACAACTCGAAGAAGAATTTCGCTAAGAGCATATGTCAGGCCGTTTGTCTCTTTGCGTAGGTACGTTATCGCGCATACAATCTTTTGGCTGTTATATTATATCTGTTACTTCAACTTTGTGAGATTCTAACTCTCCCATTCCTTCGTTGGAGGTTCTAGAAATAACCTGGCTCGTTTGATAGATACTCACTAGCTAGGCTAAGTACTACTGTGCACGGGGAGTATTTATCCCAGCTTGCTGCTGAAGGCTATATATGGACCGACGACCGGGATACGTGTGGTTGATGTTTCATGGTCACTTGCTAGTAGGTGAAAACTTGATACACTGTCACCCTGATATGTGATAACCGAAACTGGACAGAAAGAGCGCATTGAGTATCGTGTGAAGACAACTCGCGCTCCTTCTTGAGCACATGCTCCTGTGAATGGAAAGATTTTTGTTGATCTTACTACCTAACCGACCCCCTGAATAATGTTGACTACAATGGATCTGTTGGGAAGCTAAACGAGTAAATTATATAGGTCATACTTCTACAATTATATTCAAAACGCAACGTCGTTGTGCTACCTAGTGACGGATTGGGCGAGATAGAAATCGGTCTGTAGGGGGTCCCCGGTAAGGCGGCCCGACAAAGCGCGAAACAATGAACCAGGTCTTCCATTCTTAATGACAAATAGTTCGGCAGGGTCACTTCCATAATGTGGGAAGACAACTGAGAGATCGCCATTGCTATAATCTTATCTCCAGAGAGGGTTAATGACCTGGCATGAGTCTTTCTCGAAAAGGAAAGGGGGCATGGAGTCTTATGTCGGTAGGCGAGTCGATTCGCTTACCTTCGAGGCGAGGGCCGAACCGTTGGATCATGCACCGGGAGAACTTACACAGCATTATACCAACATGAAGGAGGATGACAGCATAAAGAGGGGTAATAAGATACCCGGATATGGTTGGGGTGCGGGTGCTGTCTGGGGAAGTGGATGCAATCAAGGAGTCACTTGGGGTTACACAGATCCTCATTGGCAATATTGTGGAGAGACCAAGTCCGAGATGCAACTCAACGAAGCGCAGCTGGTATCGAATCAAATTTGAAGGCGGCACATGGAGACGGGAGATATCGGATGGTGAAAGCGTTCCATATGATACCAATTCGGGAAAGACGCACGCCAACATCAATGTACGAATGTTGCACTATCGCTGCCGGCGACTTTCAAATACGCCTACCGATGAAGGGTCTCGCTTAGTAGTTCAACGCACAAGGCCGATTGAATGTATTCCGAGAAGTCTGAAGTTGACGGAGGAGATCCCATTCCGTATTAGCGACTGTGCCGCCCACGTCAGTCTGGGTTACACAAGAAGGCAGCTTGACGGTCAGCATCATATCAACCTTGCAAACTCGCCCGCCGGTGTGTATGATAACCTCGGTTATCGCACGTCTGTTCACACAATTGTGCGAAGACCCTGGGAAGGGCGGGGATCGCCTAGATACTGCCACGTCTCAAGACGTCATACATTAGGTAGGTACATCAAGATAATGATGTTGTTTCAATTATCTGAGTCTTTCATACATGCTTCAAAAACAATTACGTCTTCCCTCCACGCAGAATCGCGACACCCGTGCTGACTTTGGTCCTTCTAAGCCAATAAGATACGACCATCATAGTCAGCGAGTGCCGGATTTCGGCTTGGGCCAATGCAACACTTGAGGAATTGCACCGTTGCTAGCGGAATAAGACGGAAGTAGGCGATATGGATGACAGAATAGGGCCCGAGAGACACGTAACAAGGGTCAAGGATGAGTTTCCCCAGAGGGAGATCTCTTTTGGGTAGCAGACCACACACATGCCACCTAATTGTCCCAAAAGAGGTTCAAACGGAAGCTCTCGACCTATGAAGATCGGCGGGTTGTTTCGAAAGTATCCTGCAGCTACGAGGCCCGCAGCTGTGGGTAGTTACAGCTCGCCATTGGCTTGCAGCATCGGTGTGCCACATCAACATCTATTACGTTGTTATGGTTGAGTAGGTTCGTGCTCAACGAAGCATACGACCTGCATGGCCCTTTCAATGCACCGCAATTTCCCTCATGAGCTAAGACAGGTATCATGTAGTCTCCGCGTACAAGACAGGAATTGATGATAAAAGGTGCGCGTTTCCCCACGCTTGTCTTCTATTCCTCCTCCGCATTTCTCTCCTTCAGAAGATAAGCGAATATAAAACGAAAAGTCAGACTTCTTATATTTAGTTTTACCACTGTCAAGAAAAAGGGGCCCGCCGCCTCTGCCATTGCTCGTTCACCATGGAAAACTTCATGCACTGCTCACAGCATCCAATATCCAAGCCATCCCGTCTCTGGGCTGCGTCATCCTTCCAGTGGGGAGACGCCGGTGCTCTCCAGATAGATCATGTCAATGATGGTGATGAGTATGACCTCCATCTAGGTGAGACCTGAGTGCTGGCCCCGAAGCGGCAAGAGCACGCGCTTGCTCCTTCCCCAAGCTTTGACTAACACGCAATTGGTTCCAGGTCTCGGCACACAAAATGCATCGCACCCGCTGATGGTGTCCCACACACAAGGAGACAACTTGGATCCAAATATTTTCTTTATCCCAGAGCCGCAGGAGATACAGAAGGATTCCCTGATCCGTTACACTTTGAACCCCGACCTCGTCAACACCTTGCAGGATGGTTACGGCCCCCCAAATCATGGCAAATTTTCAGCGGCGGAGACATTATCCCAGTTCGACCCTTCCTCGCAAAGCGTGCATCATGGGGACGAATGCGCACCGCCCGAGCTTCTAGAGTCACCTAAATTGCAGCCATTTGGAGTCTTCAAGACGCTCCAAGGATCGTCGACTACGAACTTAGCGCCACGTACGGCGCCGCCGCAAGAGCAGTGGGAGGCGAACAAAGCGAATATATGGAAACACTACATCCACGAAAAGCTGCCTCTCCCTACAGTGATAAAGCTGATGAAGGCTAACTACGGGTTTACAGCCAGGTATGTTCCCAGAAATCCCTAGTCTATCGGCGGCGCATACTAAACCAGTGTCTCAATAGTCCAGCAATGTACAAGAGACGCTTCGTACAATGGGGATGGCCAAAGTACAAGCGTCGACAAGCAAAAGAGAAACAAGCGCCCACCTTTGCCATCTCGATACCTTCGAATTCCGTCCGCTACGCGCAATCCAAACAACTCAGTTTCTATAACCATATGGGCCCGTTACGTCCTACCTTAATTCCTGGCGACAGTATTCCTGTCAAATTGATCATGGATGACCTCCTCACCAACGTGAGCAAAGTATATCATTCGAAGTGGGAAATTGAGCGAAGGTGGAAAGTTGATGACCCTTTCCGAGTCCTAGAGGACGAGTACGATCATTTGTTCGTAAAGGTGGTCGGCTTTGCCAAGAATCCCCCTGAATGCCCTTCCGACAGCTGGGATTTCGGAATTGAAGATATCTTCAACGCGCTGGACCCTGTCATGGAGGAGTGTGGTCTCTTCGCACTTCCGACTATCTGGACATGCGTCTTTCGCCTTCTCCAGGCCAAACAGCCACAGGCCGCCATCAAAATGTTGTTTAAAACTATTGAATTGGCAGGTGTACATGGCTGGGATGCCCCATTTCAGAATATCCTACAAGACCTGCCATCCTTGGTGAGAATTGCCGAATTAGACATTACCCACCTTCAAAATGGCCTGAGGGAGGCGTACCGTCGCTGTCTTGATGAGACGGGATCCTCCTTGGGCCAAAGCAAACTGACACTCCTGTCACTGCGCGGCTACTTCGTCAACTATGTGGACAAGCAGTGCTCAGCCCAGCAAACAACAACCTTGGCCGCAACGAAAGACTTGGTAGAGGAATCTAAAATAAAAAACGGTGAGAATTCTTCCACCACCCTCGACATAATGGGACAGTACCTATTCATTCTTCAGTCGCACCCTGTTTGGGTGCCGGAGTTTGAGAGAGTTGAGAGAGTTGCAGTGGAAATTGATCAACGGATCAAGAAGCTTCGACTCGAAAGCCAGACTCCGCTTGATGCGGAGCTGTCGAATATTTGGAAGGACGCAAGGCATGTCCTTGCCGAGTATTACTTTCGCAAGGGTGATATCTCCAAAGCTATATCCACATTGGAGGAGTATATGACTCAATGTGCTGATGACGGCAATGATGGTTTTGATCACATTGCCAAGACGAAGCTCGATGATTGGCGAAAGAAGCAGAAGGCCAGGATGGCCGAACAGAATGAACACTACGCCTGCTGCGACCAATTTTGTTCCTGTCCTTGGCGAGGAGGAAACTGGGGTTCCCATATTTGGGGGTGACTCCTGGGTTTTTGTTTTTGGAATCTTCATAACTCTGATTTGTTTGTTTGTATTCTCTATTAGTTCGGTTTACTGGTGATGGGCTACCCCTTAAAATCCCCCCCGCCCTTTTTTTTCCCCTTGTTCCTTCAGCACGCAAGACACTCTCACTTATTACTGCTGCAATCACTTGTGTCCTCTCATGTGAAGTTTTCTCGGAGAGGGTCAGTAGGTGCCATAGTGAGTTTTCTGGCTTCTACCTGTCACAGATATACCTGTCACAGATATTCACATCTTCAAGGGCATTGGTTCCCAAATTTCAAAATTTTCTCATTTTCATAGCGAGTTTAGCGTTTATCTCGGAAGTAACTAAATTGGAAAGATATCTAAGTTGAGTGAACTGAAAACCTGCGATTGTGAAGAAAAACTGCAAGATAATTCCTCAAGAGACTTGGAGAAGTGGAGATGACCTTACATAGGTACGCATGAACCCCATTCAAAAGTCCCGCCTCACGCTCGCCCACAAGGGCATTTAATCACGTGTGTGCGAGAGCGATTTAACAATTACTTGTTGGTTGTGTAGACAACAACTGGCGTTTTTTTTTTCAATCTCTATTTTGTACGCTTTTCATCTCTAAACTGTTCTAAACTATATTTCCAATCAACCCGCGGTCGCATTCGGCATCAAGCACTACCCAGGGACTTTCATCATGGAGGACACTGAGAATAGCCCTGCCAGCGCAGGCAGCTCGGATAGATCTGAATCTCCTGGAACTGGGGCGCCAATGCCGTGGATGGACGAGTACCCATGGGACGACTTTTTCGAAGTCGAAGTGCGCTTCGAGTCAGATGAAGTTGATACCGATGCCATCGAGGCCAGGGTGCAGCAGCTGATGCAAAACTGCGACGTCTCCAAGGGATACTGCTCTCGATGCGGTTACTTGCTTAGCCACTGGCCGGCCCTGGACACTGGAGGCGAACGGGGGTACACCGTGGGAGAAACTTACACCACAGAGGAAATTGAAGCCTCTTCACGATGTGGATGCAAGATGTGTGGATTCCTCTGGTCGCGTCTTCTCGTATCCGATCACCTGCACCGCTTCAGGAGGATTGAAGCCAGGCTGAAGGATCTCGGTCGCCCCGGGCGATGTTCGCTTTCGATTAATTGGGGTATACCAGCCGACGCTCAGTTTATATGGCTAAATCTTCCTGGTGTAGAGGCCACCCACTATAACCTGCCTACAGCTAATGTGGTGAGGGCCTTCTCATTCGCGTTGCCAATAACTTGTAAGCTGGCTACCAATCTTCCTGGAAAGTAGCCTAAACATCGCTGAAATCCTTTCAAAGCAAATGTCCGGGAAGAACTGATGGATCCTGTCGAACTTGCAAAGTCCTGGATTTCCGAGTGTAAGGAGTATCATGAAGGCTGTCGCCCCTTGAGAAGATATGATGGACCGCGCCGACTGATTCGCATTTGTGACGATGCCGTGAGACTGGTCGAGTCAGACTCATTGGACGGAACCCCAGAATATGCCACCCTCAGCTACTCCTGGGGCAGTGTTCCCTTCACCAAACTTACGAGCGAAACATTCTCCTCATTCCTCCGTGAGATACCGTTCGAGATCCTACCAAAAACATTCCATGACGCAATTCGCCTCACAAGAAAGTTGGGGCTCTCTTATATCTGGATCGACGCTCTTTGCATCATTCAAGATGCCGAAAATCATGAAGATTGGCTGAAAGAGTCTGGTCGGATGGATTGTATCTATGGGGGTTCTCAAGTGACGCTCTCTGCCTCTTCTGCATTGGACGCATTCCAGGGATTCTTCCCCACGACGCCCAAGTACAATGGTGGGTTCGTTGCACGTATCCAAACAGACGAAGCTTGCAGTGTGCGGGACTTTTCCTCCCCTGAAGCATACGAGGAGGCGGTCATAAGAACCCACCTCGGAAGTCGAGGCTGGACGCTTCAAGAAAAGCTACTGTCGCGTCGAACATTGCATATCGGTGATCGGGGCGTCTTCTGGGAATGCCAGAGTATGATCAGATCCCAATTCATCCCGGAAGGGTTTGCTAGCTTAACAGCGGCGCGTCGACTCGTTCGTCCTGAGGATCGGGAATGGTACTGGCCGGAGATAGTCAATATCTACTCTAGGACGAACCTAACACTCGAATCCGACCGGTTGCCTGCGTTGTCCGGCATTGCGGCACGCCAGCACGCAATCACTGGAGATCAGTATCTCGCGGGCTTTTGGAAAAAGGACATTTTGAGACTGCTCACATGGATCTGCATTTCTCGGCTGGCCGAAAGGCCAAGCTGGCGTGCGCCCACCTGGTCATGGGCCTCTATTCAAGGCGCATCCCGGGTCGTAGGTCCATACGAAGCAATGAAGCCTCAAACCCGGCTTTTGGATGGTTGGACCAAAACTGTCAGCGACAACCTGTTCGGTGCAGTCTCGGACGGGGAAATTACTCTAGCTTGTGCCTCCCTCGTCCGCGCTAAACTGGACCGCACTGGTATAGAAGACTACCGCCACTTGTGGTGGGAAACGAGCGGGGAGCGGCTTGGGTCGATAGCGTTCCCACATGTCATCTTCCCTGACTTTGGATCCCGCACGTTTTCGGTGGGTTTGGATTGCTTGGATGTGGACATGCAGGGGAAACAGGAAGATATCTATCTCCTTCCCCTATTCTGCGGCTTCTCTGGGAGCGGAACCAGAAAACTTCCAGAACGTCACAGACCTAGTTCCACATTAGAAGCAACCTCTGAAGATGAAGCGGGCCAGACAAGCATATTGACAGAGCAAGCAGACAATTCAGAGGGGGATGAGGACTTCTTTTATCTCCCTAATGGCGACTGCTGGCAAAAAGAGAGAACGATCGAGGGCATGGTGCTGAGAGTGGTGCCAGGTGTTGTCGGTCACTATACTCGGCTTGGCCGATTTACTTTCGACAATAGACCAGACCGCGCGAGAGGGAGGAATTTCTATGAAGAAATGAGTTCGATTGTTCGGGACAAAGGCGCTGAGACGGCCAGTTTGGGATGCATCAAGACCATCTCGAGCGACGAGCACCCAGAACAGAAGTACGTGATCAGCATAAAATGACGGACCACGGGGTTTTGGCGCCCTGAAGGTGTCGGATGCTTGTATTGCGGTAGAATGTATGGTAGAATAAAAGATTCCTTCGTCGGTGGATTGAGAAATGCAGACGGCAATTGGAAGCATTGACGTCATTGAGGCTGCGAACAAAAGAAGCAGGAGCGACTGCCGCAACCTGAAGAGATTCAGCCACTGATGCAGCTAAAAGCCCTGGAACCTACCCTGGAACCTACACTGGAACCTATTGCAACCATGAAACGATCTGGTGTCTAATAAGATACCTACGAGTGCCTTCCAACATTGTCTCTAGCAGCGCCTGGGTTTACATAGTATCGACTCAGCATCCGTTTCCCTCGTTCATGAGCCGAAATGACTCCATTGCCAAGCGAAAAAGGCTGCTGTTGCGATGATGATTCGATTTGAATATATTCCAAATACCTTCAGAAGACGGAATCGTAACCCTCCCGAGCGGACATCTAATGGAACCACTTAGACGAAGGCAACTCGACACTCTGCACCCGCGTGAATACAATAGACTCTTCTGCCTTCGTATAAGCCCTCTCAAAACCCATAGAGCCCCCTCGGAGTCTCCCCATCCCCATTCCTCACATCCCACCTGCTGCCCCTGCTCAGCAGGAAAGTATACATGTGATCCTGCACCGCCCGCGCAGCGACATGCAGCGGCGTGTCCCCCCGATTATTCGTCCTCGCGACCCCAAACCCGTCCTCATCTTCTTCCGCCAGCAGCAGAACGGCGATGCCGACTTGCCCCGTCGCGGCTACCAGGTGGAGGGGCGTGCCCCCGTCGTTGTTGCTGATGTCGGTGCGGGCGCCAGACCGGACCAGGAGGGATGCGACTTTTCCGCGCTGGCCCCGCGCTGCGAGGTGCAGGGGGGTATCGCCGTCCTTGTTGGTCGCATCGATGTCGGCGCCCTTTTCTATCTCGAGGGCTGCGGCGGCTCTGAGTCCTTTCATCGCTGCGAGGTGGAGGGGGGTGTTGCCCTGCTCATTGCGGGAGTTGGGTGAGATTTGTTCTTCTTCTCTGGGCGTCGTCCTGCCGGGGCGCCATGGGTCAAAGAACGAGAAAATGGAGAGCATCATATTTTCGAGAAGCAGTAGCTTGGCTGCGTTTTCAGTACTGGTAAGGAGTTGGTGCTTGAGGAAGGAAAGGTTTCGAATGGAGCCGAAGAAATACAATTCCCCTGTGTGTGATCAATAGTAAGTCAGCACATGCTAATAGTTACAGCATTCCAAATTGCGATGGGAGTTGACGAGAATAGGGAAACGGAGTTGGGCCATTCACAGAGTTCCGACGGGAGATGAGATGGAAAACCTCAACTTCCGGACCTTTGTCACGCATTGCTCTGAGCCGTTCTCCGTGGCTTATAGCAGCACCACATCGGTATGGCTTCTTATCCAGCAGCACTGTGCTAATCTAGAGTAGTGAGTCGGGTTTTGATCAAGATTGCAGCGTTTCCAGGCGGCAATCCTCTTCCCCGGAAACGTCGAGTGGTCTTATAATCAAGGCAGTGCGACTCGTTTGCCTCGACTCATCGCCCCAGCACAAACAATTATAGGGTATTCGCATCACAATGACCAGCCCGTGACTGGCTTGCACTTTTTAAAATCCGTGATGAATTCTTCTGGGCTATCTGGAGCTGCGTTCTAATCCTCTAGGCTCATTGTCATGGTAGGTGCAGCGGTCGCACATTCACACTACCTGAGCTTGCTATTCCCCCAAGCGTCGACTCTACTCCATGCTTCTCAGATAACCCCAGGTACACTCTCGATAACCACCAAAGCTCTCCCCGTAGGACCATTTGTTAGAATAATGAGATCGATTTACTCCGGAAAGTAGGTGTTCTCGAAATTCCGCCTCGCAAGAATGAAGGAGACAGGGTCCTACTTTCGCGGTGGTTTCACTTCTTGGCTTTCTCCTCCTTCGCCACGAGGATCTTCTGCTCAGCCTCCAGCTGGATCAGTTCCTGGTCCCGCTTGTGCAGCTTGAGAATGAACTCGGAGAGCAAGTCGCCGGTGCGCTCTGAAACTAGTCAGTGAACTTGTTTTTCTTATTTATTTTTGGGAAAACCTGGTTGGTGGGGGATGACTTACTATCGTACTCGCCGAGGAGCTTGGTACGCATGATGTCGCGCTGCGTCTGCTTGATCTGGGTGGAGAGGAGGGCGCGGTTCCACGCGTTGTCCTTCATTCTGAGGTTGAGGCGGTCCCGCTCGGCCTTGAGGGCTGCGGCTTCGTCTTGGGTTGGGGCAACCTGGCTGCTTGAGGACGGTGTTGCGTGGGATCCTCCGAACTGGGCGGATGGGAATGCAGCGGGAGGCTGGGCGGGAGGCATCTTGACTCTGATGGGGCTTGGGGGGTCTCCGAACTGGATTGATGCAACTTGAGCCTGGCTGGGTGTTGCTTCGATTTGGTTCTCGGATCCTGCGAGCTGGTCTTGGGATCCGGTGGGCTCGTTAGGTGTTTCGGTGTTGGGAGGAGGAAAGAATCTAGGCGCCTGACGGCGTGCCTTGGAGGAAGTCTTATTCTTTCGCTTGCCTGCCATGGTTGGAATCAAGAGGAAGTTGCGTATTGTGTTGATTAATGTGAGAGAGAGAGTTAGGAGGAAGGCGTGATGGGCTTGTTGTTCTGGTTTGGGTGGAAAGAAGGAGGGTGGTCTGGGATTATTGTGTGTTTTCGGATGAAAAGTGCAGGAAGGTTCAAAGTCAAGTTTTGAAAGTGAGAGTGAGGGTGAGGGAGAGGTGGAGCGAGGGAGGTGCATCAGTGAGGTGAGGTGAGTTGGCTGGCACGTAGCGCAGGCCAAACGTTGCCAACTGCTGTTGACAGTTGACATGAGCCGCCAGCCTGATCAGGGCAACGCGTCTCTGCAAACACGGATGGGTGGTAAGTTTAATGGGGGCAGCTAGATCCAATATCTGTTATTCAAAAACCCATAAAGCAACGATTTCTGGGCTACGTATATTTGTTTGATGAGTACCAAGCCATGCCACTCGATGAATAGGTGACTATTCAGACTGCTCACGCTCCTCCTCCTCTTCTCTTCTTCCGGTACCACGCTTCTTCTTCTTCCCCCCCGCCGGGGCCTCGCCCTCCTCTTCCTCATCGTCCTCATCCTCGCCAACTGGTTGCTTGGACAGCATCTTGTGCGACGCCACCTTGCAATGAGCCTCGTACTTGGTGCAGCTTGAACACATGACAAAGCTCCCACCGTCACAGATGTCGCAGCTAAAGTAGGGGTCCCTTTCCGAGAGAGTGGCCATGCAGACGTCGCAGTATCGCCAGATGTTATCTTCATACTCATCCTCATCATCCTGGTCACGCTCGCCGCGTGTTCGGATCTTATTGGCACCAGCCCGCGCCTGCTTGTACAGCTTGCGCATGCCGGGCGTTCCCACCTCGGTGAGCCACCACTTGAATGTCTTACCGAGGAAGTCTGGCGAGTTCATGGACGGCATGAAGTAGGGGAGGAGGTACTGGACAACTTCTTCATGACCGTTTCTCATCGCCGAGCACACGGCCGTCGATCCGTAGGCATCCTTGGACCGAAGCAATTTGTGGTTGCCCTTCAAGAACATCTTAACCATTCCGAGGTGTCCACGAGAGGCAGCAAAGAAGAGAGGGGAGCGGTTATAGTTGTCAAATGGGAGGGGTTGGGCACCCAGTCGCCGGCGAAGCACTCTCGCAATTTCAATGCTTCCGCTGAGAGCCGCAGCACACAGAGCTGTAGCTCCAGATGTGCTGGGGATATCAGGGTTCGCATTCTTCTCGAGGAGATATGTGAGGACTTCGAAATTGTCATAGTCTGCAGCTTCGTGCAGAGGTGTCATGTCGAATTCGCCGGGGAGATTGACATCAGCTCCCTTGGAGACAAGATACCGGACAACCTCTACCTCGCCGGAACGAGCAGCACACTGCAGAGGAGTAACTTTATTATTCGTCGAGACGGCAGTGAGCTTCGCTCCTTGCTCTAGGAGGAATGTGGTTGTCTTGAGACGCCCGTTTTCGGCAGCAGACGAGAGAGGGCTGTATCCATCCTTGGTAGCAGCATCCAGTTCAGCACCCTTGGCGAGCAGGAGCTTGACCGTCTTCAATCGACCGTTCTCGGCAGCGAAGTGCAGAGGTGTCATGCCCTGACTATCCCTGGCGTCAATTTTGGCGCCGTTCTCTACAAGAATCTTTGTCAAGTTGAAGTAGCCATTCTCAGCTGACAGATGGAGAGCGGTAGTTCCATCCTTGGAGGCGGCCTCGACGTTGGCACCTCGGTCCACCAACATCTTGCCGATGGTAACAAAGCCTGCATGAGCCGCCTGGGCCAACGAGGTAAAGTTCTCATCAGTCGCCGACTCAATATCCGCGCCGTGCTCAAGAAGGTAGTGAACGACTTCGATGTACCCGGACGACGCCGCCGCGGTCAAGGCCGTCCAGCCTTCCCCCGAGCGCCCTTCGATGTCGGCACCGTTCTGGATAAGAAGCTTAACAATGTCGAGGTTCCCAGCATCAGCAGCATGTCCGAGCGGCGTCCACTCCGTCCCATCAACCTCCTCAATGTCTGCGCCGGCTCTGATTAGAACCTTGGCAACGCTGGTGGATCCCTCAACTGCCGCGAGATGAAGAGGGCCACGTCCATCGCCGTCTCTGGCTGAGATGTTGGCCCCTTTCTTGAGTAGATACCTGGCAGTCTTGATCGCATCGTCTTCGACGGCACAATGAAGGGCGGTACTTCCAGCGTTGTCGGTCGTCTCGATATCCGCACCGTGCTCGAGAAGAAACTTGGTGATGCGGACGTCATTTTCTTTGGCTGCATAATGCAGTGGTGGGTGGCCTTCGGATGTGGCTTCAATGTCGGCGCCCTTTTCAATCAGATACTTGACGACGGCGTATTCCCCGGCCAAAATGGCGGTGTTGAGAGGAGTGGCTTCATCGTTGACGGTGCCGTCAGGATCCCACCCGCGCTCGACCAGGATCTTGACAATGTCAAGGTGGCCCTCCTCGGCAGCGGAATGGAGGGGCGACCACGCTCTCCGCTCACGGGCCTCTTCGTCGGCTCCCTTGCTCAGAAGAAGGTTGACTAGCTCGACGCTGCCTGTCTTGGCGGCCAAGGCAAGAGGAGTGTTGCCCTCGGAGTCCAGGGCTGCCAGGCTGGCGCCCTTCTCCAAGAGCAGCTCAGCAAGTGTCATGTCGCCGTCTTCGGCAGCAGTGTGCAGCAGTGTCTGTTCATCTTCACCAGCGGCTTCGGGATCGGCGCCGTTGTCCAGCAAAAGTCGGACAATGTCAAGATGGCCGTTGCTCACTGCCGCGGTGATCGGGCTGATCTCTTCGTCAGCGTCTTCCTCGCAGCGATTGACGTCGGCTCCCTTGCTGATGAGAAGCTTGGCGATCTCCAGGTGGCCCTCGGCGGCAGCCTCAAGCAGAGGCGGGAATTTGCCTCCATTCACGTTGGCGCCCTTCTCCAAGAGCAGCGTGGCAGTACGCAGCTGTCCGTTTGCTGCTCTGGCCAGCGCAGTGTACCCCTCCTCGTCTTGGGCCTCGATCTTGGCGTTCTGATTGAGCAGCTTCCGGACTCGCTCAATCTTGCCGCTCCCCGCGGCTTCAATCAGGTTGACCATGATGTAATTGGGAATATAGAAAAGTGCCAATCAAGCCGGATATTGAGGCCACTCGCTGATGGAGCAGGCGTCCCAAATATAGGTCGATGGGCGGAAAGATTGTTGAGGGAGGAGATTGATTTGAGGACGTGGCAGAAATGACGGTGGCGGTGACAGAACTTTGTCTGCTGCTGATGGCCCTGCCCACAATTGCGCACCACGAGTGTCAGCGCTGGAAGCAAAAATAGCAGATTGCACAGTAAGAATCCCTCACCTGTGGGGTCTTGGCTTAGGATTGTTGGCTCTTATTAGTCGAAGGATCTGGTGCTTCGGATGGATCGTTGGCGCTGCATGACATTTGTCGAGTACTTCAACTTAGTCAGCCCTCCAGTTCCGGGTCGATCTGATGGAAGCAATGCAGGAGGAGGCGGGCATCGTGCCTAGGAGTGCGAGATGGATAAGATAGGCCGTAGGTCTCGACATGGAGTGTTTTTGAGGAAAGCGATGGAGGAAAGAATATTGTAGATTCAGATCTGCGTGCGACGACTAACACGAGGAGGCCTGAAAATCGAGTTCTCGAGTCCGGGCAGGTCCGACCCCACAGTACAGCACTCAAGGCACCCGCGCACCTCTCGCTTGGCTGCGAGTGCATCTAAATTTAGCAGTTTCCTTGCCATCATCGCACCTGCTCTTGGCATCACGAATTGCAACCACCAAGGCCATGGCCATGATTAACAGCAATACGACGCAGTGCATTCAGGAAAATGGCCGCATCTATTTGCCAAGGCATTCAAACAGCATTCAATCGCTATCCTCCGAGAGAACAATGTCTGTCAAATGCAGCCAGCCTTTGCACGTGGACGCCCTGTTCAATTTAGTGCAACGCCAAATCGAAGAACAATACCAACACCAAGCTGACCAACTTTCTTGCCTATTATATTCGGGATGCCCGTGGACCCGAATCGGCAGGGCAAAATAAACCTTGGATTGTTCATGGCCCGAGAAGTCTAATCTTGACCATTGTTCAACGGAAAACAGCAGAAGCCAACAGCGACAGCCACCAACCAATCGAGTTCCACGAAAAAGTCCTCCTGACGACGAGATAAGTTCACGCGCTCTTCTATATTCATCGATCGGTTCTCAGCTCCAGGACAAAGACAGGCCGCAAGCTAACAGTCTAGTGTTGTTGTAGCAGCCCTCTATATGAAAGCCGCCATTCGCCTCTCAAGGAACACAATCCCTCTTCTAACAACCAACTCATCTGCTTATACAATCAACCCTTACAAAAATACAATCCACACTCTCGCCATGTGCCAAACCTACCAAGGATTCACCCTGCCGTGCCAACAGGCCCGAGTACCACGTCGCATGGCCTCGACCCCTTGGCCCATCCGACCCCCGTTCCCTATGTAAAACATGAGGGGGTTCAAATATTATTCATAGGGCTCGCCCATACCGAAAATATTTCCATACATGCTACTCGCCATGTTGCGCCTAAAGCCGTGACCTACCAACGCTATCGTCCTCGCTATCACCTTACGTCTGCTGTTCACTTCGCAACCTAATACGCAACTCTCGCCACGTCACCTGCGGAAACTCTGCGGTACTGACATTTGCTCTCGGATATTATTGGAGATGACGATGAGGCACCAACGAGGAACACGTACAAGTGATTGTTCGCCACAGCCTATCGAGCGCTTTGGGCGTTTTTTGAACAATCATTCTGGAACTGTCGAGCCTCTCACTCAAACAGCCGAGAGTGATTGGTACTCAGCGCCTCTCCCTGTGAATGAAGATATCTTTTGGGAATCAATATAGCTTCCTCGAATGTGCCCCTTTTGCTTTGAAACTACCTAATGGCTATATAGGAAAAGATGAATGGAAGACAGCTGATCAAATTTGGTTCTCTAATATTGTTGAACGACCTGCCGTCCTCTTCCAGCACCCCGACTCGATCCCACACTCCTTGGTTTCGAGCAAGTGTGAATTAACTCCCCCAAGAGAACTGCACCTCCTCGAAATCTCACATCTATCAACCACACTAATTTATCGTGACCACACCAAGATCACTGCCCGCTTCCAACGAATTCGCTTCTGAAACGAGCCCTCAACCAGCATGCCACGATATTCAAGTTCCAATTTTTTGCATATATGGTGGTTTATTCTCTTTATCTACTCACACCCGTCGGACTGCTCCTGGCCTCTTGCCGTTGGCCACTCGACACGAGGCTCGCAGATCGTTGGAGAGGCCTCCGTCAACCCTGCCCATGTTCATTTCGTGAATGGGAAATTTCTTAAGCACCAGCCCCAGGAGGACTCTCCTGCCTCTTTCCCTGGATTACCCAACCATACGCTATGACTTTGCCTTGGATTATTGTACGCAGGCCGCGTCACTGGAGAAGGTCTCGAAGAATGATGACGAAGGCTGGGCTTGGATTTACATCAAGCTTTGGCAGATGGAAGAAGCCGTCCTGGACATGAGCTAGGGGGTGTCTTTGGAGGTGGAGGAGCCCCAGCTATATACAGAATACAGAAGCCATTTCTTGGTTGTCGGATGGCGCGGCTCCTCTTTCTCTCGCTACACCACCAGATGGGTCGACATTTTATTCATTCTCAGGGGCATAGCCTTGTTGGTGTTGAGTTTCATGTACGGCCGGGCGTAAGCCTCGTAGCCGGGCAAAAAGCCTGGATTATAACGTGTTGTGTCACTGGGTATGGTGCCAAGTTGTTAAATTCTTGGTGTTTTGGAAATTTCCCCTTATTTTTCCAGCAGCTGCCGCATAATTGTGTAGCTCTCTCACGTACAAATCATTCTCAGATACCTTGTAGAGTCAGAAGAGTTCAAATATGAATAAAATTATTAAATTCATCATAGTCCAGGTCATTTTCTTAATAAGTCTGTTCAATAAGATCTTTCGTGTCGCATCTTTGTAAGTGAAGCCTAGTATTATTTGCCTACCCTGTAGCCAACCCACATGCAAGTATCACATCGTGGAGATTATCATGGTGTTGTGTTTTATTAACTAAGCCTCCTCTATGTGATAGAAAATTGAACATGAAAACAACACCAACTTTTCCTTTTTCAATATTGGCGCAAATGAGGCAAGCAAGGTGTGACATCTGGGGGAAAAGAAGAGGACGAAGATAATCTCTAGTGATACTTGGGTACCCCAGTTGTTGAGAGACATGTGTCTCAAGACAAGGGGTTGGTTGGATGGAGTACAGCAGTGATGTCATGTCATCAAATAACAAAGGCTTCATGGGTGTGAGTGAGGGCACTTAATGTTGGACAAAAGACAAGACAACTTTACTCGAATACAAACAACGTTTCCATTTGCCTACCGGTCAAACAGCCGATCGAATAAGCGTACCTAGGATAAATAAACTCCCAACGGATCCCCGGGAAGAAGTCTGTCCGTTTCAGCTTCGGTTGGTGGTGCCCATCAAACAACGGCACTTCTGGGAGGCTTCTAGCCGCCGCAGGATCAAACGACCTGGCCAATAGACGTGGCTGAGCCCCTGGCCATATGGGTCAGGTTAATGCAGCGCTCGTTTACAACCCCCGTCAACGTTTCCCACTTCCCTTACTTCCCTGCTGCGCCCTACTCTGCCCCTGCTGGTCCGTGACGAGGCATGTGCACCACCACTGCGACTTTGTTTGTTCTGGACCCCTGCAACCCGAGTGCGTCAAAGCCTTAGGGGATGGCACAAAGAGCGGGGGAGAGATGACAGGACTGTGAATGTCTGCCGATCGTGCTGCGGACCTCCGTGAGACAGAAAAGACCTTTCGATCGCCCCAATTGCCCATTCGGTGGTGCTAATTTCCCCCATTATCAGCGCACAATCCGCCGTGGCTTGGCGCCCGTTCAGCCTTCTCGGCCTAGCAAGGGAGAGGGAAGAGAAGCGGTTCCGTAATTATAATAATACGACCTCGCCTAACCCGTTGGTCTGCGACATGTCACCCGCGCCATTTTGCTTTCCCTCCTCCGTATACCAAAGCAATGGAGCCGCAACAACGAGACGGGGCCAAGTCTCTGTCGGCGCAGGTCCTGCCCGTATTCATGACGCGGCGATACAGGACGGTGGCCGCTGTCGCTATCCTGTTCTTGATGCTTTGGATGTATCATGGATTTGCGCAGCGCAGCGTCGTGCCGCTACCAAGCCATCAATTTGGCACTCAAGATAAAGCGGATGGCCCTGTGCTACCGTTAACATCACCACCACCAGCGCCTGAGCCGACGAGCATTCCCGTCGAGAAGCCAACAGCAGAAACTCACAGCCACCTCGAGATACCTCGGAAGATATGGCAAATCATGCTGCCGAGGGACACCAAGGGCAAGAAACAGACGCCTGACCCGAAGGTGCTTGAAGACACACCATCCTGGTTGATTATGAATCCAGATTATCAATAGTGAGTCTCCCCGAGCAAATATCAAACATCTCTCGATGACCGGCCGTTCGGCACTTCTTTTTCGTCCTTGGACTAGCTGCCAGGTGGCACTTTCATAGGGCTGGCCTGGGGCACTAGCTGCTTTCGTGCATACGGGTAGGGTGAGGTTCCCAGAATAGATCTGGTAGCCTGTCTGGCGGACGCCACTCTTTGCTGGCACTTCACGATGCTTTGAAGTGTTGGAATACCACACTTCTTTGGTATAAGACCGACGTTAGCAAGAGTTGGTTTCGCAGAGTTTAACGCTCCAAGGTAGCTATCGTGGAGATATTGTTGACCTTGCCCGCCCTAAATCTGGAGGAGAGATATCGCACTCACCTTCCCTGCTTGATTACGGTCGACTGATATGGGATCTTATAGCAAACTAGTAGGGGAAAAGGGGGCAGACGAATTCGTTAGCCAGCACTTCGCCGATAAACCCGCCATTGTCGAGACATACCAAGGACTCCAAAACCTCGGCATGAAATCCGACCTCTTGCGCTATCTGATCTTGGACGTCGAGGGAGGAGTATACACCGATACCGATACCATCGACATAAAGCCGATCGACGAATGGATACCCGCTCACCTCAAAGGCAAGGTGGGATTGATCGTCGGCATCGAGTTCGACCGCCGTGACGGGGGCCCGTGGGCTGAGATTCCGCACTGGCTCCAGTTCTGCCAGTGGACGATTGCCGCGGCGCCGGGACATCCTGTTTTCCCAAAGATGGTTAGCCACATCCTGGAAGCGGTGGAACGATACTCGAGCGCGTATCAGGTACCGGTCAACAAACTCAACCCGACCAGCTTTGAGGTCATGAACTCGACTGGCCCGGCTGCCTGGACCGACGTGGTTTTCGAGCAACTGCAGGAGTACGAGCCCACACTGAAGGAGCTGAAAGACCTATCATTCATGACCGAGCCGAAGTTGTATGGCGATATCCTAGTTCTAAGCATCAATGGGTTCGGGATGGGCCAACAACATTCACATAGCACAAATGATGGAACGATCCCTAAAGATGCGTTGATGAAACATCTGTTCAGAGGATCATGGAGGGGATAGGGAGTTTTGATACCCACAAATGTTGGAAACGTGCCTGTAATTCAATGATTTTGTATTGGATACCAGTAGGTCGTGTTGGGCCTAGCTATGAGGTTTATGAGAATACTCTTTGCGTTTCTTTGTGACCCATGCCTTAGGATTTCCTTCAACGAAACAGTAAACTTGGAAAGGTAACTTGCGATGAGTAGGTCCGATCAGGTTATGCACCTGCTACCCCTTGTCTGGGTGGATTGCAAATAGAATCCGCCGTCCAAAATCCTCAACTTCAAAACGCTTGCTGAAAATGCAGCAAGGTCTACTACGGAATGGAGTGAGCTCCATTCTTCACTCAATAAGTTGCTCGAAACTCAACCGACTGTCGCATTCCGTAGAGAAGACCAAAATCGTGAACCCACTCGAACAAGCAGGATCCACAGCTGCCGTTGGCCCCGAAGACACCAAGGTCGATGAGCATGACTTTTCTGGAGTCTTCGTCATAGTAAACATCGAACGTGAACCCTTGCTTCAACATGAGTGCGTCCATCTCTGTCTTGATGTCCAAGCGACCGGTGATGGCCTGGTGAATCTTCCAAATGCCCATCCAGATCTCCTCCACGACAGCGTTTTGTTCCTCCTTACAAAGTTCGGCAAACCGCCACTTCTTGCTCCAATCTTGCTGACTGATGGCAGTGACTCTTCCGGTGTCAGGTTGGCAGTAGACGCGGTATTGGCGCTCGATGCGGATGCGAGGATTGTAAGGAAAGAAGATGAGTTTCACAGTGAGAGAACCAGACAAGAGAGTCTTTCTCATTTCGCTCATTGCCATCTGAGAGGTAGCAAGGCGTAGGCAGACATCCATGGGTGAAAGAATCATGTTTTGGGGTCTGTCGCCGTCGTGAAGCTAGCACGTTGCGTCCTTTGGTGATGAAAATTCGAGCCGGACAAAGAGTCCTTGAGAGGGGATGAAGAGTTCGCTGAACGCGGGATAGACCTCTTCACGAATCTTTTCAACGGTGGCTCTGTTGAACTGGCCGGTGAGCATGGCGTTGCCAGATGCTTCTAGGAGGACATGTCCTTGACGTCGGGATAGGCGGACGAATTGAACAGTTGCGGGATCAAGTTCACGGCTCTCAAGGACAGCGGGCAACCATCTTTGCATGCCGTAGGGTCTTTCGTTGGGTCTCTCCAGTGGCGGGAGCAGCTTTTCGTCACAGAAACGAGAGTTGAATCTTGTCGGTGGACCGGGCTTTATGTCTTCCTCCACTGCATCGTAATTGATACGGGAAAACTTGATCGAGGTAGGCATTTTGAAAACACCAGCTGCAAGATATTTGCTGTCTATACAGGGTGTTAGTCAAGAACTTGTGAGACAACGCGACGAAACCAAGGATCACAGGTATGGGATCCAGGATGATGAGAGAAGAATATAAGAGACTAGAGAAGCGAGCCCGGAGATTGCAATATGTGAACTCAAGGGCCAGAAAGGGAGAGATTCAGAGATCGGATGAGGCATGGATACCATGTAGTGCAATTTGGGAGAATGGAAAACGAAACGTAAGAACGAGAAATCTTTGCGAAAAGGAACTCCAGTAACTTGGACACAGTGGAACAACACAGGATAATATGCAGAGAGGACTATGCAGAGAGGACTATGCAGAGAGGACATAGAAAAGAAGATGGAGATTTTTGATGTGAAAAAGAAAGAAAGATGCTTACCACAACAGCCTGGAAGAACTTACACTAAAATGATTGACGGGTGGACTCTTTGCGCAAGCACACAGCAAGTAGGGACACGAGGTTTTCGGATAAGGTGCTGTAATGATGATGTCTGGGATGATGCTGGACAAAAGATGTTGTGGAGGAAAAGAAGAAGAGGAGAGGAGACGAGGACGGGGGAAGAGAAAGGTGATGGGAGATGAGTGACAAACAGTGATGGATTTGCCACGTCGAGGGTTCCTTCCGTTTTTCTTGAGATGATGCCTCAGGTGGAAGTGAGGCTACTCCTTTGGTATGTGTAAGGGTGAGCACCTTCCAGTTTCCACTGTTGCGTGGCAGCTGGCGGCATTGCAGCCTGTTTTCTCGGGCATCCAGGCAGTCGACGACAGCCACATGACGACATTTCGCTTAGGAGATCCTAATATGGGTACTCCGAGGGTGGCCGTCCTTCCGCAGTCACCAGCCAGGCAGCGGAATGGTATTCTGTGCCTCCTCACTTTTTGATGCTTCGCCCGCCTCGCAGCTAACTCGTATTCAACTTGCACATTAGCATGCAACCCGGTTTGGAATCAAGCACACTTAATTTGATTCGGTGGTTGCCTTCCAACTGTACTGAACTGGCCAACTACCGTAGCTGCAGGTAGTAAGAACTTCATCTACGGATGAGGCCGGCACGCAAGGATACCCAGTCAACGTGAAAATTTGTTGGACAATTACTTGTTGAACCACTCTCTCTCTACTTCGTATTTTCTGTAGAGCCCGGAATGTAGTACTGATGGAATGACTTTGTTCTGTTCTGTTCTTGTGATGGTCATAATGTAAGCTGAGTGAGGTCGAGCCAAAGAAACAATGGTTATATTGCACGACTCCCGAATTCTACCCTTGCATCCTGTTCACATCTGGGCCAGGCCGGTAGCCGCGTTTCGACGTTCACCCCTCCTCACATGGTCTTTAATAATCTCACCACCCTGGATATTTGGGACCTCCAGCCGAGCTTCATCTACTTCCACATCGATACAGTTCTTTCCAATGGCGACCTACAAAACTCCCTCTCTTCTCCCACTACGATCGTGGCAATGTTAGGAGATCCTGCTGGGTTTTATTATTCACCATTAATGTATAAGAAGGAGGCATTTCGAATGTTCCCAGGCAGTGGCGCTCTGTGTGTGCCGTTGATTTAACCCGACCACAGGAACGAACGAAATGCCCACAGCACCCCCCTTGAAGATGGATCAGCATCGGATAGTCCCCATCAAACGAATGGGAGCGCGGAAGAACCACTCGTTGGAAGAAGGCAGAGCGGGAAAGAATGCAGCGCATCAGATCGCAAGTTTTCTCGCATTGGATCTTATCTGGCTCCTTTTAAACAAACCCGTCGGGAGAGGCGTAGACATGCGCGTACGGATTCAAAGCTCCTATGCATGAGGGACTGGGGGCCCTGCTAGACGATGATGATCAGTGGCAGTTCAAGCCAGTTCCTGTTCCGAGTAGATCAATTTCATCCTTGCCTTCGTCATGAGGCAATCTTTTTTCGACGCAGTGGGGTTCCGCCATCGAGGGATAGGTAGCATCTGCTAATCTATTGGGCATGGGTCCTCGAGAAAGAGTGGAAGAGGATAAGTCGCCTATTAGCACACCTCGCTGTTCATAAACTAGCAAGAGGCGCACTTCTTCTGGGCACATAGAAAGAGGCGGCTGCGGCGTACTTTGAAGATGAAAGGTATGTGATTAACAGGTGCTTTTAGCTAGTTAATACCATGCGGCCGGCCTCAACTTGACCTCAAGGCCTATTTAACGATCAAGTAGCCCGTTCCCAAGTTACCATAGCCTTCTGTTGTGAGGTCCAATAAGAATACCACTCCAAAACGAATCAACGAAATAACAAAAACAAACTGAACACGATACACCCTGCAAAACCACCCCAAAAGAATAGATAGGTCCCATGAAACCCTGGTCCAACGATCCCCGTGAGCCAATTTGGCTACGCAAGGTGGCAGGGATGTCGTCTTACAGTCATAAACTGTTGCGGTGCACCAATAATTGAATGCGGAGAGGTCTTAACAACTTTGAAATCCTTCGAGGCCTATCTGGGCACTCCGACGATGTTCGGTTGATATGAATGCCACAGTGTTTGGAGTCTGTCCAGCTTCCAGATGCCTGGAAGACACTAGGCAATCTTCAGAGTTCGCGGCATCTTGCCAGTGCCGGTGCGCTGGGAAATGGTTTTGGTCGTACCTTTCTTCGCTTCATAATCAGCTTCATCGAGGAGATAGTCCTGGATGAGGTCCGAGTCACACTCGGAGCGGTGAAGTATCTCGTTCTTAAGGTAGTACACATCATCACGCCTCTCGGTCTTGGTCTGGATCAGGTAGTAATGGTTCTTGGGCTCAATATCCCGTGACAAGGCCTCCAGGCCATCAGCTTCGTCCTGATTCTTACGTCGACACTTAGCAGCAGCGAGTTTGTTGCGGAGATGGATATCATCTTCTTCCTCGGATGGGTAGTCTTCCTTCTGTGACTTCTCGGCCTTGTGGAGGATGAACTCGTATCGGAAGATGGTGGGCATTGGGGGCTTGGTATAGGTGGCGTAGGCTCCCGGGGAAGCCGATTCCAGGCTCTGGTATTCAGTTGAGATCTCAACAGTGGCTGGGGTCGACCCGTTGATTGTTTTGGTAGGCCATTGGGCCACCGTGCGCGGGGTATATGGTGTCGAATCTACGATCAGAGTCGTGTCTTCATAAGCCTGCTTGACCGGCTCGCTGGTGATGATGATAGGGGCCATCATGTCTGGCATAATTGGCATTTGAGTTGGCGCCGCGAAGCGTTGAGCGGGGACCAAAGAGTTGGTGGCAGCGGCCATGTTTGCGGCAGAGGGATCAAAAAGTATTGTCTTCTTTTGGGGCGGCTATTTCAAGTCAAGTCAGGATCCGGTGCTGTGTTGAAGCGCCTTGACTAGTTTTACTCACAAAGTCTTGTGCAGGTTGTAGCTGAACGATGCGTGAATCGAAAGGAGGTGTTGCTTGTCAACAGTGGCAGACGTGAGGGTGCGTGTTGTTAGAGGGAGTTTCAAGACATGGATGCAGAGAATTAGGCACAGGACGGAAGTTTGGGAGGGGCTTGTGAGGTTAAAGGTCCGCCGCTGCACTTGGGTGGCTGCTTGACTGCACCCAGCTGGTCCTGCCCAGCCTTTGGTGGCAGATGCTGGCCCAGCAGCGGCAGGTCCCGCCGTTGCGCTCAGCGCTGTAAGGTAAACCGAGGCCCTAGCTGTTGCTGTCGTTGGCATGCGAACCAAGGAAAGTCCAGGCAAATGTCGTCAGGTGTCTGCATTTCACCTCCTGCAGATGTGTCCAAGTGTCGGCAGCTTTTGAGGCTCAAGAAGGATCGACTATGCCTGACAGAGCATGCAGATTCGAGCACCAGGGTAAGACGAGTGGGAGCTTAGAGACAAACGGATGATGTGCCAGAGGGTCCGATGTGCCAGGTGATACTTTCACCCCAGACTCTGGATTCGAGTCTTCATGTTCATCCTACAGCTATATGCCAGTACATGGTAAAATACTTGCTATCCAGGCTGTTAAGAGAAACCGATCCAACTCGCTGTTAGGCTCCTTACCTATCAACAAGATGCATGTCCGTTGGCGAAGCAAACTTGAACGCCGAGTGGAAGGAGGTCATAGATACTGCCTTGATGCAATTCGTAAATGGTGATTATATTCAGGGGGGTTCAGCTCATCAACCTCTCCAACGGGACTGCCGTTAATGGTCTGCTAGTCTACCATCAGCAACAGCTACAGCACACAGGTACGACCAAAGAGTATTCACCCCAAGGGATCTAAGTCGTCCCTGAACACACGCTAGCTCTCCCTTTCACAAGACTCGTGATTACGGTGGGCTCTAAAGTAATCGGACGTTGTATCTGAATCCTGTTTACTCGAATCAGATGGTGCCTGATTTGGGATGAGGGCATCCTACCCTAGAGGAGTGAAAAGGCTGTATAAGGCGGAGATTTTCGGTTTACGTACCTGCACATTTTATTTCCACTCAATAAGCCTCCTGCGAGCTTCTAGATAGATCATGGTCCTTCTTGTAAGCTTCCTTACTGGGGAGCTCGCAGTGTGCAGTAAACGCCCGTGGAGCACGGTATGGTGGCTCGAAGATGCTCTGCATCACGCGGGCGATTTAAGCGTCCAACCGCAGCCAGTCTTCTTCAGGGGTCAGGGAGGCTTGCATGTAATAATTCCACGTTCTTCGGGCTACGCTTGATTGATGCCCGTCAAAGTAGGTGACAGGATGAGACGCCGAACCGGTGCTCATGCACCAGAACAAGAAAGGCTCTATGTTTTGTCCGCCACACCTTGGTCCCAAATTGCCTAAAAAACTCAAGAAAAAAAAGCTCAAATGTAATTCAAACGCTATAGGAAGAAGTCTCATCTTTGTTTGAAGCCTTATTGTATCTCCTTTGCTGTAGTGCATAGCTGGAAATGCCACCCTCTTGCCCGCCCGCACAGCAGAGATCCACAAGTTTCTGTGGATCCATATGCGGGAGGCACACCAACTTTGCAAAAAACGAGCGTTCGGGATAAAAAAAGACGTCCTCTTGGTCAATCAGATGGCGTGCGTTCTCGACAACAAATTTCAGTGGCTTCTTCGAAAAATCATCGTTGTTATATCTAATCTCGCCGTTATTACCGACTACGCGATGAAAGACGTTTCTACCTTGATTGTTACTTTTTCCTCCACGGTTGCCCCGAGACAGAGTCTTAGCAAAAAGCCTGGCCGGGCTGCTGTCTCCGGCCCTTATTGCTCTGCGGTAAGAGTTGTTCTATACTCGCTTTGCCTTCAATGACACATGACATGCAACAAGATGCGTTTCTTGAGAATTGCCATATTTATTGCCATATTTGCATATCTAATCCTGGAATACATAGAAACGGGTTCATCATACAAGACCTAACTCACTGGATGGTAGCATCTCTGGACGGGAAAAGTTTTAGCCCTTGATAAGTTCAATTATTAGATAGCCACTTGTGATGATAGAAAACTCAATCGATTAATAATTTGACTATATAAGATCATGATGCGCAGCCTCAAGGCAACTCTTGCGCTCCTTGTCCTCCACAATGACACCGCCGCCCCGTTCAGACGTAGAGTTTAATAGCCTCCGTACCTAACTGGCCCGCTCTCACCTCCGAAACCATAAGGTTAGGTTTTCGTCCTATCTAATTACGAAGCTTGATATTGAAATCCGTTGCAATCAAACAAGGCAGTGCCTGGTGAGCCTGCCACGAATGAAACCCCCTCGCCGCGACATCAAGGGGCAGGTCAGAACAGACGGCTTCATGGCGGTGATGTAAAGAAACCCGTTTACCATATCTGTTTGTTGATATAGACGGAGAATTTGGTTACTGAAAGAGGAATTATATCAATGTTGGGACGTTCGTATATCGTCGCGTTGGTAAGACACGCAACGTGTTTTCGCTCTTGTGTTTAGGTCGGGTATAGTCTCTTTCTAGTCCGCATACCATAGATCCTGATTCGTCTTGTCTCCTAGTATTCGAGCCTCGGAGATAGTGACGTCGACCTTGTCATCCAACGGAGTAAAGCCGTTCATGACAACAAGAGACATACTGCTGGCTGGGTCTTTCGGAAGGATCGAGGTTGACTCGCTGAGCCCCTGCACACGGGAACTTTTGAGATAATTCACCACCTGCACGTCTTTTGCTCACTGACTCTCTGTAATGGGCGGCGAGTATGAGTCGATGTTTGGGAGAGGATGGATAACACGGCGCAACCGCACGGCCAAGTCGAAACTTCAGTAGCCAAGCCCTCCTATCAAGAAAATTGATTAACGAAGTATTCCGATGCCCCTTTAAAGGCCTGCACCTGAAATCAGAACACGAAAGCGTACCAGGCTGTTGGCCACTGCTCGTTTAGGGGAGGGCGAGAAGATATGAGCAGACCACAAAAGCGATACAACGAGAGTCTCTCGGATAATACGAGTGGCAAACGATATTAAGATTTCACCTGTCTGCTAACCGCGGGATGTGTCTTTGGGGGTCTTCGAATCCGGCATAATCTAGCAGAACTTTTCTGACTAGCTACCATTAGAATCTAAGTCGGCGGCCATATGACGTGGATTGAGTTCGCATTCGATGGCCTGTGCCGGTTCCTTGTGGCAAAACCCCTTAGCCAAGCTAGTGGTGATCGTGATGAAGGTTGAACTAGCGACGCCGTTTTGGAGGAAAGGCGTATATGGGACGATGCAGTCGTTTCTCAGCTCCGTTTCGTCGGTTTGCATATAAAATGTTAGCATTTCCGCCTGTAGCTCGGGGATGTTTCACAGTGTAATGGGCGTACTCTCAAACTTGGCTGACTATTTCCATCGGAGGATAGCAAAAAGCAATGGCGCGGAAGGAAGAAGAAGCCTTGGCTGGTATTCACACTGAGACACATGTCGCGAGTCAGACGAAAGCGAGACTGAACTGAATGGATAGGCAAATCGTATGCAGACTGGAGATTCGCTTCTGGTCTGCTCGGAACGAAGGTCTGTTCAGATCGAGAATGACAGCATGTAAACGACTCTTTGCCGCGGCTTGAGAGATGCCAGGCCTGTGATGAAATTTTGACAGTAAATCGAAGTTGCATTGGCTATGCAAGTGTCTTTCATCAGCCCAAGTTGGCGAAATTTGGAAGCTGCTCGCCGAGATGGTAGTCGTGGGAAGCTCCCTATGAAATCCGAGGTCTCTACTTCATCCTCGAATAAACAAACGGTAAGAGAATAGTGGATTTCGGATGGAAGAAAATCAACAGCAAGGTAGATTTCCCCCCAATGGCCATCTAGGAGGGTCCAGAGCCGGGCATTTTCTTTCTATTTGATCATTACGGGCGATAGTACCAGATGGATAGTTGCATAAGGTGTGAAATATATGCAACTATCGCACTAGGTACCCACCACATGCGTCTGCGGCGAGCGTTCAGCCCGTTCTCATCCTCCTGGTCCTCCATGTTTTTGTCGGCTCCTTGCTCGCAAAAACCATTCCCATTTCAGCGTTATCGTGCGGTCATTTCCTTTGTCTGAGGAGGTGAAATCCTCAAGCATGGATCCACGAGAAAAGGAACCCCCTCCAAGGCTTAAGCAGGAGGGAGAGCTCAGCAGTTACAGCCTCCCGCCCTCGACTTTTTCGAGTCCTTTCGATTCTGCCATCGACCAAAACCCCATTTCAGAGGGATATGTCGGCCAAACCGCCGCTCACTCGGTGTGGCAGTCGCAGCCAAAGACAGACCTAGACTCACAGCCGTGTCAATCCTTCCACAATACGTGGCCTTATCTTCCCACACTCCCTCGTCTCAACGAGGAAACACATACGTTGCCACCCTTACAGGGCGCGCCCAACACTTTTCATGAAGCACCCTCTCATCAGCTACAGCCGGTCGGTGTTTACCAGCCAAGCAGTCAATACTTCGTGGAGCAGCAACAATACATGTATCCTGAGCCAAGCCCAGAGATCCCGCCACCAATCTACCCATCTGTCGGTAGTGATCCGTATCGTCAAACAAATCTGACACCGCGATGGTACAATGCGTTCCCGCATACCGAGAGCAATGCATTCAGACCAACTGCAAGCGTCTTGGGCAATACCGAGCAGTATCCTGCCAATAGTCTCCACACCCAGCACCAGACGAGCTACCAGGAAGCCTCCGCTACAAGTGATTCGCTCCCTACTCAACGGCCACGACGTGGACGTCCCCCGGGGTCCAAAAACAGCCAAAAGGACCCCGCGGTAGATAAATACAAGTTCCGCTGCACGTTCTGCTGCGACTCGTTCGAACACAAGTCTAGTTGGTCACGGCACGAGGAGTCGCGTCATTTGAGTCTCGGCGGATGGAAGTGCACGCCACATGGTCCCTTGACAGTATCAAACGTCGACGGCACGCTGGCCTGCTCCTACTGCGGCTTGCCCAATCCGGCAGAAGAGCACTTCCAGGAACACGAGGGCCCCAACTTCCCCAGATGCAACAAGGAGCAAATTTTCACCCGCAAGGACAACCTCGTTCATCACCTCAGGCGTGCCCACAAGGTCAAGACTGCCCCCCGGTGGGTTTGCACATAGGGTGTGCAGTCGCCGATTATAACATCGCGCTGCGGATTCTGCGACGCCCATTTGGCGTCGTGGGACCAGCGCAAGGAGCATCTGACTGTGCATTTCCACGACGGGAAGACGATGTGGGATTGGGAGGGAGGGCACGGTTTTGCCCCTGAGATCGCGGCTCAAGTCACCAGAGCTATACCCCCGTATACGATTGCCGCCAAGTCAGCTGCGATGGGAAACCGGCAACGATCGATGCAGCAGATGTATCCTGGGTATTAATTCGACCGCGGCCGGATATTGATTAGGAGCTGGGGCCTCAACGATTGCATGCTCATTACCACTATAGCCTTGTTTATCTTGGTAGAAATAAAAAGAATCTCTATCGTTGTGCAGTCTCTAAGGCTCGGGAGTTGTACAATTGTCACTTTTCTAATGTTAGTAGTAGTGAAAACCGTAGGTCCTTCCAATGGGATTTTGGCGAGGTTGGCTCTTGCACCCTCAATAGTTTCCTTCACTCGTGATTCATGTTCTGTTCGATTTAGATGGAATTTCGAAGCTGCAATTACCGTCAATTTTAGCATCTATTTATCTCCACGTACCTATGTAATGCGCCGAGTGCATTGATTTTGATGTTAAGACTTTAGGATCTTCGTTGACTATTAGGCCTGTGTTGATTGAAGCGAAGCGCAGCTACAGGGTAGCTGCAACCAGTCTGAGGGTGCAAGGCCTTAATGGGTTGGACAGCGGCAAGAGCTACAAGTTTTTTATCACTGGCCGTAGAGTGCCAACTTCCCACTGGAGGGTGTCCATTCTGAGAATCTACCAAGCTGAAAACGCCCACGTCAAGAGGTTGAATGAGGCATTCCTGAGGCTGATTCGCGCCAAGCCAAAAGGACCCCGCATCAGTCAATCAACCTGAACCCAACCCTATCCTGTTCATCTCTTCATTCTTTCTATACATTTTTTCGCCCCTTGTGACACACACGCCATCTGGTGCAGCTGAACGGCGTGACTCTACAATGTCGGCCCAGAGCCTTCCCGTGGAACTCTGGACGGCCATTCTGGACTGTCTGATCCCTAATGACTGGTACGCCTCGGCGGGGACTCGTGATGCTTGCCTCAGCCTTCGGCGTGTCTGCCGTGAGTAACCCAGCAGTTCTTCGTCCCTTCCTCCTGATGCGCCATTGTGATTCTAACAAGCTTCCCGGATAACTAACAGGTCTATTCAAAATCATCGTCTCACGAAACGCCATCCGAAAATTGGACTCCGGCCGGCTTAGTTGGTACGTGAATGGGCCCAGGAACAAGAGCGCAGCGAAATGGATGCTACTCCATCAAGTCAACATGGACCCGGAGAGCGAAATCCCCGCGATCCGCCATGTCAGCCAGTGGGCCAAGTTCATGAAGGCCCAGAGCGACTGGGACCCGGACAACTGCATCAGCACCGACAAGTGGCTGGAGGACGTGTGCGGCGCCGTCACCGAGCACCTCGGGGCCAGGTGGGTGTTTGAGAACTTCATCTGCTACAGATCCGGCAAGCCCCTGGCACTGCCGGGTCTGGGAATCAGCATCGCGCGCCACCTGTTGACCCAGCCGCGCCCGAGGGGCCCGGACGGCGCAAAGATTGTGCAGTTGACCCACGGTGTCTTGCAGATTGCCGTCTACCAGGGGAACAACACGGCGGTTGCGTCCATACTGGAGGCTGGGGCCGACCCCAACTATGTTCACTCTCACTTTGGGCATCCTGTTCACCACGCTCTAGCTAACAACCACGTTAAGACACTTCGACTGTTGGTTAGACATGGTGCTGATGTCCATGCGCCTGGCGAATATGCGACTCTCATTAAACGGGCGGCAGACAAGGGGCATGTTGAGTGCTTTCGGTATCTATTGTCCATGATCCGGGACAATGAACTGCAATACCTGAATCCTTGTCTCGCCGCCGCCAGAGCAAAGGGCCACATAGAAGTTGTCCGGGTCCTGTATGAATGGGCTACTCACAGACAACAAAAGCACGAGAAGAAATCCAGCTGGTTCCACAACCTTAAACTATGGAACGCCAAACCGCGACCTATAGTACATCTCCAGTTCTTCTGCGGGGAGTACAGTCAAGCAATGGAAGCAGCCGCGCGGAACAATCATGTGCAGCTTTGATAGGAGGATCTTCCGAGATTGTGAAGCATATCCTGGAGAAGTGAGGGGAGAAGGTTACCAACAAGCAAGATGCACAGGTGTGGATTCCGCTGCATATTTTCAATGATCAGAGACTATTGCAGCATGCTAGTATGCGGAGGTGTTTTAGTGACTGATTCTTTATGAGAATGTCTTTGTTCAAGAGTTAGTAGTACACTTGGTAGTAGTCCCTAAGTCCTAGTTTTAAACGAGACAATGTGATTAGAAACGATTCTACGTGAAAACTGTCCTAAATATCCATTCTTTAACAAGGGTGAGGCAAACTGTTTTATCCTAGTCCAATCTGTAGCGCCATCGTATCTTATGAGCCCTCAAACAATATGTAGTTACCAATCTTCCGGTCTGCGTGGTCTGGAGGTTGCGCATAGTGGCTTGTTGTAAGTCCGCCCACCGTCTTCTCCCATCGCCTACTCCTCCTCCTCCTGGAGACGCATGAGCTTGAGCTTCAAGGCATGGAGCTCGGTCTCGAGCTTTGCCTGCTTGGCCGAGACAGTTTCATGATCCTTCGTAGTCTTCTCGTGGCGGTCTCTCCACGCCTTCAGGAAGGCCTGGCCGGCTTCCGAGTGCCTCCACTCGGTAGTCTCCGCAGCCCACTTGTAGTTGAACTCTTCGCGGATGTTGTCAAGAGTGTCCTCGTGGTGATTCGCGGCCCGGGTGGCCACCTCCAATCTCCAACGGAGCATCTCGATGTCTTCTTGAAGCTCTTTCTGTTCGACGGAGTTGGCATCAGCCTCGTGTGCGTCAACTTCGCCTTGGAGGCTGGAAAGGGGTTTCATGTTAGCTGCGTGGCACGACGAGGTGAGGACTCCTTTGAACTAACGCCTGGATAAGTTGAGACAGCATGTTGAAGATACAAGTTCCTTTTCTCAAAGCAAAGATTCCTGGATGAGTGCGTAAGAGGGGACGGCTCTTTGTTCGTGTGTCGGCGCTCTCTTGGTCTTTGAATGCCTGGTTTGACTAGAACGAATCTGGTGGCTTGTTAGTATCCTTTGCTGAATTTGAGCCCGTGGGCTTGGTGTATCTGCATCTCTAAGTTGTTTATCTCAGCCTTCTCTGCAAATTTCAGAGAAGTCTGTAAAACTTGCAGAAGCTTTCTGGGGGATGGGTCTGGAGATGGGTTTCCATGGTGCCAACTTGCCTTGCTTTCTTAGGAGTTAAGTGTCAGTACCGGAAGTCGGTAGTATAGTCTTTGTGTCAGTACTGGATGATGGGAAGTGATGCCGTAGCCAAGCTCTCGATGTGTAAGTTGTTCGTGCCAGTCGTCTGAGTAGGTCAAGATTTCTGGTGTAGAGATGAAGAAGTTTAAATCAAGAAGGTTAGCAAGTTCAAAAGATATAAGGGCCCAAAAAGCACTGCGTGGTAGCACAGGCGGGGCGTACATTCAAAGGGGTGGTGAAATATGTTTGCCCGTGTGAGCAGAGGGGTGTGGCATTCTTCCGGAGTCAACAAACAACCTAAGAGCGGTCACTGGCCATGAAATTCTAGGAGAAGGTTGATGACAGCATCTAAAGACATCACACCCATTTGAACCCCCTTAGAGCCTCCGCTGTCTGGATCCATCGCGAAAAAGATGTGCTGGTCTACCACCATGCCTGCTGACAGTCGCCGTCTTCCTCTACAGACTTGTCAAGTCGTTTCTCGGTATGTAGCCTTTTCCCACTCAGAATATTCCAGCATATCCGTGGGATCTATAGTGGGGTGAATGTGGTCGGTATCGGCGTTCGAGAGAGGTGATGCGGAGTGACACAAACATCGGCGCCGGTCCAGGATGGATCGCTTGCGAGTCGTTCGGGGGTTTAACCAGACCTATTGACTTGTTAGTGTTCGTATCCATAAGTTCACGGTGGTCGAAGGAACAGCTGGCCAGTTATTTGCCTGTCACGGCACAGGGTCGTGGTGGTTCTGCTCTGGTTTTTCTGGCCGTGACTTGCTTCAGCGGCATATGTAGGGTGTGCAACGAGGGTACAACTACTCTGCTACACGATACAGGCTCATGGGTTGCATTGGGCGTGTGAGATCTGAGAGTGAAGTCTTGTAGAAAGGAACTTGGCGTGACAGTGGGGAGGCTTAAGATGATGTTGAGGAAGGAATGGATGGCGAGGGCCTGTGGCGTGTTTATCTCAGGAATAGCAACACGCGTTTCTGGCCCGTATCCCACGGAATATACTCATGTAATGATGAAAAACACGTCTACGAATATGAAAGGCCCATAGTTTGATTAAAGACTGCATACTGACTGCGGTCTTGGAGATGTGGCGACGGGAGGAGATATTTTGGATCACCGCCTAGGCACACTTCCAAGCTCACTTCACGAAAGTCAGTAGGAAACTTTCTAATTCAGGCTCGCATTAACCTCTTCTAGATTCAATCTGATTATTCATTGAAAACAGTTATTGTGATTACTGGATCCCATACGCTCGTGGATGGCGCGAAGCACGCTTCCGATTTCAGATTGAACACTTCGTGATCTCAGCTGGGACACGAGATCTGCCGACTAAGAAAACTACTCCACGAGGACCCCTACGTAGATCTCCATCTTTGGAGCGTAAGACATTAGTTCATACTCAAATACAGAGGCAAACCTGTTGGCATACCAAGCCTCTCCGCCTCTGCAGGGCCTTTGTTTGGCCTCGGGAATCACAAACCATCTCCCAACAACCACCAATATTTGGGCATCAAAGTCACTTCACAGGAAGCATCATTGAAATCATTCTTCTTCATGACCCAGCATAAAGCTGCGAACACAATGAAAAAGGGGGGGTGGAAATCAAAAATTATTCCCTGCTGGGCCCCGAAGGACCAAACGATAGAGATCATCCCACTGAGTGCAATGCAGGTGATACTCTATCCAACCTGCCAATTCTTGAGCTGGCTGGTTGAGGAAGGGTAAGTGTAAAGAAGAAAGGAAGAAAAAGTTCAAAGACGGGGGAAAGTCGAGGGCTTTTATAGATGAATTTGGCGCCTCAGGCAGACTTACTGATTGCGCACGATCAGTCCCGCGGGATCAGTACATCGGAAAATCGAAATGGGCCTGACCAATGACAGCCGTGGACGGTTTTTATTTTCCTCAGGCTTCCATTTGTGGCTCGCTGCCAGATCAGATGCAGAGTCTGGCCCATCACGGTTCTCAGATCAGTGACGGTTCTCAGATCAGTGACGGTTCTCAGATCAGTGACGGTTCTCAGATCAGTGACGGCGAACAAGCTGCCCCTCCCGGCCTCCAGCCCCTGTGAGGCTATCACTCTGCAGCTGCCCGCATATCTTGGCCCCGGACGCTTGCTGGTATTCATACCTTCGTGAGATAATCTATATTCCATTGTATAATTACAAGTAGCTTCGTAAGTATCTTAATTCCAGCCGCTTCGGGTAGATGTAGTTTGTTTTTAACAAGCACCTTGCACCAACGCTCCCCGTAAGCTTGGCACACTCGAAGCTGTTGCACTGTGATGGGCCGGCTCTTTTCATGACGCCCGGATATTCTCAGATAGGTACACATTGTTATGACGAAAGCACTGACGCTCATAACCACTTGCTTCCTTTTTTATTTGCCTCTCGTGAAGCATGCTCGTCTGTGCTTATTACAATACGGCACCTCCGTGGTGTTTTGCATTGCCCGTGTGATGGCCCGGATCCTGAACTATCATGTGCCGACGAGGATTGAGGTGGCGTCAAAAAAACTTCACGGAGATTTTGACGAGGAGCCTCTGAAATCGCAGTACCGATGTACTAAGGTATACGCACAGATGATGAATTAAAAGTACAAGACTGATGATAATCAATCTTGTCTGACGCAAACTTGATGTTTTCCCTTCCTGGCGTCACCCAAGTTCCTCTACAGATACTATTACATCTTCTATCAAGTTATTGGAGGGAAGCTGTTGGCTTATATATCTAGAACGTGGAGTTTGATAAATCTTAACCATTTTGGGCCATGCGAGGGCTACTCCTTAACGAATGTCCCGTCAGTCTGCATCTTCCCGATAACGGGCTCAAGCAACAAGGGTAGCAACTCCGCTGCGTCCCCTGCAAACGCCAAGTCTCCGGGTTCCATTTTAGCCATCTGCTCCGGGTCCTCGGCGGTAAGGTCGATCGTAACGATGCGGGCCCCCTGTCCTCGTGCTCTTCCGATGTAGCCGGCGGCTGGCCAGACGAGGGCGGAGGTGCCGATTACGAGCATCATATCCTATGCAATTATAGTGAGCCAGGAGATCGAGCATCGAGAAGAAAGAGAGTAGATTCAACTTACTAAGGGTTCCTGGTCGACAAAGTTGTCCGCCCTACGAACGAGATTGATGTCCAGCTTCTCGCCGAACCACACAACATCGGGGCGCAGCAGACCGAGTGGGCACTGGGGACATTTCGGTAGATCCTTCTTCTCTATCCTGCCGATCGGATTCTCTGGGTCCATCAGGGGGAGGATCCCATCCGGGTGATCGGTAGATGCGGGAGCGAGGGCCGGGCATATGGGGTCGTCGAAGTTGTCTTTCTGGACCCAGTCACAGATTGTGCACTTCAGATTGAAGAGTGAGCCGTGGAGAGTCAGGAGGCGATCAAGCGGGTGATTAGCCCTGCGTGAGAGATCTCCGGGTCGGTCAGTTTGGGCCGTTGACAAAGACATAAGAGGGCTCAGGCTTACTGTCAACATTTTGCGTCATGCAAAGGAACTCAGGTCGTTCTTGGGCGAGAGCAGCTAATGCTCGGTGGGCATTGTTGGGCTCGGCCTTGAGGGCGGTGTGTCTCCGGTTGGCGTACAGAAGCCAGACGAAAGACGGATCGTCGCGAAATGCAGTCGTGGTGGACAGTTTGTTGACGTCATATTTCTTCCACAGTCCGCCTGGGCCGCGGTAAGTCTCAAGTCCGGAAGGAGCAGAGAGGCCTGCACCGCAGAGAGCAATGATGCGCCGGCTCGAGAACAGAGCCTTGTGGAAGGCCTGGATTTTGGCTTGTTTCTCGTCTGACATGTCTGAACTGAGATGGTTATATATACAAAAACAAGGATGTTTCAATGGGCGAGATTTCTGAACTATCAGCGAGGGTTAAGGCAATTAATAGCAGCGGTCAAGTGAGAGTGCTCATAATTATACCAAACTTTTTGAACAAACATTCGTTGCCAGGGACGTGTTGGCTGCCTTGCTGCAGGCCAGGCGACGGAGGAATATGATTGGGCGGTAATCAACGTGGTGCTGACCCGGATATGACGGCCACCATGAACTGCCACTGGTTGATGAATCGGGCACGATTTTAACAAGTTCGGAATTTCGACGGCCCAAAATGGTATATGAAGGGTTCTCTATTTTTATATATTTCTACATACAATGATTTTGTTCGACACATTAGGTACTATAATGATGAGGCCTCGGGCAATAGGGCCAGGGGTAGCAACAGACCGGCAAGAGTCGGCCGAAACTGCCTTTCCCGGGTCATCACATTCTTTAGTTGAGATCTTCGTATTAAGTCTTATCTTTAGAATATTAATTTGGTAGTAGACTGTAAATTGGTTTAAGAGTCCGTTTCAAATGTAGCTAAGCCGTAGATCTTCATGGCGAATCAGTCTTTTTCAGCCCATAAGGGCCAGGATGCTTTCGCTTATCCTCATCCGAGCCAGGGCGAACTGTAGACACGCTGATGACGGTCTCGTTCCTGACATGTATTCCATCCTCGACATGTCCGGGACCGCCATGCTTCTGTGACTCGGGGTCTCCTGAAACCGCAGTCACATTAACACCGAATCGTCGATACGCATCTTCATACCCCTCTCTGGATGTGCTCCGGTCCGCTCGGTTCGTCTCCGCTAGCTGGTATGTCGACCCCTCGTCATCCGCCTGACTCACGATGGCAGTCATGTTCTTTGTTGATCTGCCACGTCGGGAGTGGGCGTGGGAGTTCCCTCCATACGTGCCGTACGTGCCGCTGTTGGCACCGGCTGAGCTGCCGGGGAGCTTGTGTCGGAAGATGAAGTTCAATGCAGGTCGGAAAGTTGGGAGGCACGCTATTACTTGTTAGCAAGGGAAGATTGGTATCTAATAACAAAGGGCAATCATACCAGAGACAGTGGTCAGATTGACCTCGACGCCCGCCCACAATATAATCTCGCTGATATTCCACGTGAAGTCTAACGCTGCACCATTGAAAGACACGGCTTTAACAATAAGGGCGATTGCGGCGATGCAGATGCTATAAAGACACGCACAGTACGGTCAATTTGCTGTGTTCAAGGTTTGCATATATGGAGATTCCACTTACAACAGACCGAACAAGAACATAAAGATGACCGCGATCTTCTGCATCAGAGGGAGATTGAGCTTCATGATTTGAATGACAGGCAGGGTCAAGATTGCCATGTCAATCAATGCGTGAACAAGGGTCGTGCCGAAGAAGAATTTCCCGGAGTCGATGACACAATATCCTCCAGCGTTCGAGTCCCAGAATGCCTGGACAGGAGTGCATTGGAATGTTCCCATGAAGGTCTGTCGTAAGATTAATATATGTCGCAACCAAGGTACAGGCGCGCGTTCGTGGGATTCGGCTGGTGTTGGATTGGGAAACCTACCCTGATGACGATCCATATGACTGAACATCCCAACAGGACCTGGATAGGAACTTTGATATTGCTGATGCCAAACATTCGCCAGTAGAAGGCCAGGATAGAGACCTTGCCAAAGAACAGTCCATATGCGTAGAATAATTCGATGATGAATAGAAAAAGTTTGTTGATACGCAAGATGTCCTCGATGCTCCCTGCGTCTTTAACGTTTTCGATGTGTTGCCCGAGGCCGTTGCGTAACCCTAGAGGAACTGTGAGAATTGCCGAACTGGATGATCGAAGTTTGCGGATTGGGAATGCGTACAGATGGCCAAACATATGAACCAGACAACATCAACAACCTATGAGCATGACAAGTCAGCCACCACCCCCCAATTGGCAGTTGATAATACTCACGTAGCCAAGAATAGCAAATGCGTCGTCCCACCAGAATTTGGCTCGTGTAAGATATCGACTCCCGAGGCGTAAACCGATGGAGATGGTCGCGAGGGCAAACGTAAAGCCAAGTACACCCCAATGGAGGGTGACTTGGGATTCCATGGTTTTGTAGCTTCCCTGAAGTGTGACGGAGTATCTGCCTCTGATCCGTGAAACAGGAAAGCCAAGTCGAGAGGCGCAAAGGCGGCAGAAGACGGAATGAGAGAACAATGTTTCAACTCGGTGTGGGTGGGGGAATCGTTCCGGTATATGGCATCGTGCTAGCCCAGAATTGCCACAAATCTGATATTTCCTAATTCATCCATCTGAGTCAATGAATGATTCGATTTGGAAGCGAGTGCCTTGGTTCAATGTTGTTAGCGGGATACTAAATTACTAAAGGATCCTGCCTAGCCCTCTAGTGATGGTGGCGTCTAAACGGTCTGTCTTGTCAAACTGCGAAAGGTTTAGAGGCTCAAGAGACGTCCAGGGAACTGGATTTCGGCTTCAAGTTCTCTTCGACTCTCTGTGAGCAGTACTAACTGCCTCCCCGGAGCCCCAGACCATGTAGTCGGTTTCTAGCGGCGCTCTAACTCCTGGCACTGCATGAAATCTAGGTCATTCCCGGTATGGGTGATGTTGGAAGCTCGCTCATTAGAGTTAGTTCACCACGCTTGGGTTGGGTTAGCTCAGGTTGTTCTGCATATCACCCCATGGGATCAACGCTTTTCTGCGAACTGCCACTAATGCCAGGGGCAATGCCAAGCTTTACCGGCAATTGGACCGAATGAGTGCCAATCAAAGGGTGAGAGTGACCTCGAGATTGGCAAAAGTATCGTCCACCAGGTCGAAAACAGACAGCGGCGAGAAGCTAACTCAGCAAGTGGCCGTTATTCTCTTGTCAGCCAGCCTCGTGGCATGTTTCCCTCGATCTGCCTAAAATCGCCTCCGTAAGCCATGGCGAGTCTTATCTCAAGGCCAGTGAGTTTTCACTTTGTACCTAACTTTGAAGCGGGCCAACAGACACCAGATTCTGAAATCAGGAATTGCCAAGTATTCTGACCGATCTCCCCCAACATTGAACCCATGTCAGCCGTAGGATTGATCTTCCGGCTTCCATTCTCCGAGTGCCGGGATTTGTGCCGACTCTGACGACATGACTCGCATTCAATAATCTCGGGAACTCTTTGGATTCCAAGTGGTTTAGTTTGACATCAAACCATAAGTTGACCAAGCCCGCAAGAGCCTAGCAGCACCCCCACGTGTATCTCTTTTGATCCCCTTCAGGCAACGCCCTGACGTAAATCTAGGTCCGTTTAATTACCGGGTTAGGATAACTATGCTTCTTTGTCGTCGATCGCCGGTACGCTTGTGGCGTGACGTGGCCAGTCTCCTCCCAATCACAGCGAGATCCGGTCAAGGCTAACCACTTCGCCTCAAGTTCATTGTTTGCCAAGACAAGCCGTTGCTTCAAGAAATGATAATCACGGAGGGTTTAAGGGTCCAAGGCCCAGCGATGTATACGGTCCATTTGAACAGGGAGAGCGGTCCATCTGGTCCCAGCGACCGCCAAACAGATGATGCAAGTCACGCGGCACGCCTCATGAGTACCACGGCTCTTGTCAAACACATGCTGAAGTGTACAATGAGACTCAATACTTAGATGTTTAAATCAGTTTCATCATGACTCGTGCATTGATCATGTTGGTTTTGGGGTACCTTTGTTATCATTTGTAGCCGCTGGAAACGAGGAAAACATATTCTCTCTTCGGCACCACTTCCCGCCATGTGATATGTTGGTCCGTGCCATTTTTACACAACTTGTTTGCGAACAGTTGTCTTGTGTATTGAGGCTTTGAACTTCGAAAGAAAAGTCTGCGCAGTTCCATCACCCCCTTCGCTACGAAGTCGTACAAACAAACAAAGAATTTGATTTTTGGCTGAAATGGTTTACATCACCATTTTATCAAGCGCCGAGTCCGAGTGTCAGTATCCGAGCACTTTCACGTCATCCTTGATTCCCGAAAAGTATCAATCGTTGGAAGCTTGGGGAGCACTCCGGTTGTTGTTGTTAAGGTAGCCGAGGTCAAGTGGAGTGGGAACTGGCTTCTCGTAGCCTTTCGAATTCCGTTACAGGTAGAAACCCTGGAATACTAATTGGTCCATACGCTGTAGCCAGGCCCAAACCTTCGAGCAGAAGTGGGAAAATAGGCACGAGATCGGAGGCCAGATTTCTTCAATGCATCAACAAGAAGACCGATCTGTTCCTCTGAAGCAGGGAATGGTTCAGATGGGTTGACTCTTTCGGGAGCAATTCCCTCAATCCCTACACCAATGGAGAAAGATGTGGTTAGAAGCGGATAGTCCGAGTGAAGAATTAAGTGCAGTGCAACCAGAAAATTTACTGCTAAGGTGGAAAGGGGTGGTGCAAATTACCTACATCTACCATATACTTGGACAAACGAGGTCGATGTTGGTACCGCGGCTAGTATCATCGATTTGCGTAAACGCGATAGGAAGCCTGCGAATGGGTCCATATACCTTGGATATATGTACAAGGTGGGGAGATCGTAGATTGCTACGGCAGAAACCGTAGCGATGGTGAAAGTAACGTACAGCGGCGGTCACTCGGAATACAATGACTTTAGCCACATCATTGTATGTCTTCATGCCCACCGCCAAGTGTTCAAGGTTGTGACACACGAGCGTCTCCTTCAAGGTAGGGGCGAGCACGGTCCGGCGACGAGCCGGATCTTGCCGTTCCTGATGCCCAGCTCGTTACATCAGATCGCGGCTAGCATAGCGCGTGCCTGACTCAATGACTTTTCGCGGGAACTCTAAAGGTGCTAATCTGGGGCGAGCAGCCTCAGGGCGCTGTCGAACAATGTTCGGCTCTCGCGGTCAAAGAGCCTAAAGCCAAGGTGACTTGTTGGCAGAGTCTCGGGAAAGTCTATGACAATTATTAAGTCAAGCATTTTCATGGAAGCTGCTGTTACTTAC